TTCTTGCCCCCGGAATTTAACTACATGTAGTGATGTACAGACAAATGTTGTGATCTTACTTGTGTGGCACAAGTAAACCTATCTCAATAGCCTGAGAAGACATCTAAGAAATATAAAAATTCCACATTCTAGGGGTAGGGGTGAGGGAGTGTGTTAAAGATGGGTTCCCACGTAGAAACTGGGTGATTTAATGGTATATATAGACTAAAAACATATTCAAACTAATTAATTTGTCATAATTTTGCTTCAAATCCTTCTCAAACATTGTAATTACGATGGAATGCTCTGCTATAAAAATTCGATCAAATCAGGTCATGTTTACGTCATGTGACTTACCTCTCTTACAAGTCAGAGGAGAATTCATTGCATACATAAGACCATGTTGTCTTTAATCGCTTACTATTTATTACAAATATCGAATCTTAATTAAATTCTCGGATTATCCACTACTCGCATCATTTTCCGTCATTTTTATCTCAGAAAGTGTTGTACGTCTAACTCTTCATAAAGTTTATCAACTTGTACATCAAGCGCTCAATGTTTGCGTGTGACCTTTGACATCACGCGTGCAGAAATTTCTAATCGTCGGGCTGTTGATTAGGGGAACCCTTACATTTTTGTCCTGTATACGCTCCATGAGTGTTTTTCGGGGAATCCAGTATTTTTCAAGTAAGATTGGATATCTCTACTTTCCATATATACCAAAATTACCATACTTTTATTGGAAATAACCACCCAATAAATACTTTTCTGGGAACCCATCTTTAAATTAATATTTATTGTGCCTACATATACATGTACAAGTGAATGTTAGCACCTACAATTTTCATGAATCGTAACTACCAGTGGGTCCTTTTGGCTTACAACTTTTTTGGCCGAATTTTAGATGCTGTTGTCTACTGTAAATAGCCAATGAAAACGTATCTTTTCTAGTTGTGTCTGTGATCTGTTAATAAACTTGCTGAAGTCAATGTCAGCTGTCTAAACGGCAGCTATTCTAAACGAATGTTAGACCTTGTAGTTGTATAGTTTAATAAAAAGATAAGGATATAATTTTGATTAACTTGTGAAATAAAATTTATCCTATTAACTGCTGAAAAATTGTGGGTCATCCTATACCCTGAGATGAAATTCGCCTGTGTTACAAATATAAAATATTTAGCATTGTTGTAGAAATATCCCCTGTTAATTACTGTGTCATGATCGGATCAAGCACCTGAGGCTGGCTGTAATCTGTTTCATACAGTCATCTTGTAGGCATTGATACATGTATTGTGCAATAACAATGTATATTTATGGAGTTTAATGAAAGCTGAGGTTGCAGTCAACTTTTATTTTTCTCTATGCCTGTAAAATGTGATTGGTTAATTAATGTACGTCTACACTCCTGTCAAAAGGATAATCAGTTGGTGATAAAATGTATTGCTTATTCTTGGATCTTGATCAGAAAATATTACCGAAGTCATTTACTGGTATATGAGTTTCACTTCCTCCGTATTTCCAAGTTTGTAGGTGAATTTTTTGAATCTGTTCTGAACAGCAGGACAAATGAATAAAATTTATTGTCATCAATCCTAATTGTCCCTGCCTGTCACACTCTTTGGAACACAATAACTTTCCTTCTAATTGAGCTAGAATGTTCAGGCTTGGTGTAGGTGTTTATTAGGTGACTGAATGCCTTGATGGAGTTCAAATATGAGCATATTCTGCTTAGGGTAAGCAGAGATAAGCAATTTGATTGGTTGATGATTTGGGACATACATGTAACTTTGGTTCTAACTAAGTGAGAGTGATGAAACTTGGTGTATACATGTAGTTTCATTACATCAATACATGTACCTGGACTGAGCATTTTCTGATCAAGGTAAGCAGAGCGATAAGCAGTGTGATTGGTTGAGACTTTGGAACACAATAACTCTCCTTCAAATTGAGTAAAATGCGTTGTTGGAGTTCAAAGATGGGCATTTTCTGCTTAAGGTAAGCAGAGATAAGCAATTTGATTGCTGGATGCTTTGGGACACGATAACTTTGGTTCTAACTAAGTGAGAGTGATGAAATTGGTGTATAGTTTCATCACATCAATACCTTGACTAAGTTCCATAATGAGCATTTTCGGCTCAGGGTAAGCAGAGCGATAAGCAGTTTGATTGGTCGAGACTCTGGAGCTCAACAATTTAACAAAATTTGGGTAGCAAATGGCAGGGTTAATTTTTTTATTTTTAGATTTGGTGATATTGTCTTCAAGAAGGCAAGTCTCTATAACTCAATATCATCCGCAGTCTTCGACATTGCAAACATGACTTATTAGTTTATTTAAATCAACATTGATGTTGTTATCTTAACGTGAAAAGATGGGCTTCTGATATCCAATATTTAAGGATGTAGAGTAGTCTAAGATAAGTACTAACTTTTCAAACCAATCTTAGGACTTTCCATACTTGTTCCATGTGTAAAATAACCCAGAGGACACATAACAGTCCGACCGTTAGTTGTGTAATAATGGAGATTCAACCTGAAAGAAAAAACTATTTAGAGCAAACGAAAAGGTTTTCCCGACCTAGATCAGTTCTTAAATAAATTATGATGTTCTACACACTGTTCACGTCATCCGCAGTTTAACACTATATATGACGTTAGAGACGAAGAAGCCTATTGATTTTCAGCGATTTCCGATAATAACTGCCAGAATTATGGCCCTTGATCACTTTGAAAAATGTTGTGGACGCTCTAGAGGCTAAAGTTAATATCCAATTGACTTTAAATTTATACACAGTGTTTAAGGTCATGAGACGAAGAAGTCTATTCATTTTCAGTGATTTTGCGATAATTTATACAGTTTTTAAGGTCATGAGACGAAGAAGCCTATTGATTTTCAGCGATTTACGATAATTAATGCCAGTGTTATGGCCCTTCATCACTTGAAAAAATCTTGTGGACACTCTAGAGGCCAAAGTTAATATCCGATTGACTTTGAATTCATACACAGTGTTTAAGAACATGAGACGAAGAAGCCTATTGATTTTCAGTGATTTCCAATAATTACTGCCAGAGTTATGGCCCTTGATCACTTTGAAAAATGTTGTGGATGCTCTAGAGGCTGAAATTAATATCCGATTGACTTTAAATTTATTCACAGTGTTTTTAAAAGGTCATGAGATCAAGAATCCTATTGATTTTCACTGATTTCCGATAATTACTGCCTGAGTTATTGTCCTTGATCACTTTGAAAGGTCTTGTGGATGCTTTAGAGACCATAGTTATCATCTGATTGATTTTATATTTACATGTATACCCTGTGTTTACGCCTATATATAATCGTTTCGATTGACTTTAGAGTGATACACATAGTTTAAGGTCTTGAGATGAACAAGTATATTGATTTTCATTTCAATGATTTTTGATAACTTGAACAGCTAGATCTATGATATTAAATGTTTTGTATATTAAATGTAGCATGGGCCAAACAAATTCTAATGATTTTCTGATAATTACTCAATGAGTTGTTATTCTTAATCAGATTTTAGTGTATAAATGTTTCATTACTGACAAGTAAAAATATGCAACAACTCTTGTTGACTGCCCAGACGATTTAGCTGTTGTGGGCGTATGATTTGTTGCCTGGCAACCTATCTTTATATGTGTTTAAAGTGAATATAGGGTGTGTTTTAACTTTCTATATATTGAATTCAAATTAATGATTCACGGAGTACTAAATAAGCTTATTAAATATTTCAATGTAGTTTAAGGTGACACCAGTAATATCGCAGCTGGTCCTAATATTTGATGACAGATTATGTAATGTGCCTTTATTTTTCATTCAGACGAAATTTAATCTATACATGTACATAATACAAAAATTTGAGCGACAGTATGATAAAACAATCCGATTTGAAATCTAATACCTAGGCCAATAACTAAAGTTATTTTAATAAAATAGTTTGCATCTTTAGATGAAAGTACAGATAAGATAAAAAGGTATGTTTAATTTGTGTATATAGATGCGCAGAAAAGCCATTTTGAAAATAGATCCTAAAGAAGATGTAATGGGATAGATATAGATATTATTATGTTATATAAAGCAATGGAGGTATGACAAATGTAGGTTTTTGACATACATATACATGTACGTGGGACTACAAAAGATTGTGTCTCAAAATACTTCTGAAATGTACATTTTCGAATGAAAATTTTTTGTTTATTTTTCATAGCCCTATCATCATTGTAAGATAATTAAAAAAGTGATATCATTGCTCTAGATATCGTATATTGGATCAAAAAAAATCTTATATCATAATTAAATATAAAATGACACATTTTTACATGTATTTAAAAAATTGATCACAACATATAAAAAATTGGTGATGCACGTTTTTGATGTTGCACTGCATGAACTATGCAAAAGAAATGTAATTTTTACTCAGATGGATGCCTCTAGAAATAATTAAAGATCTCTACGTGTTACAAAGGATAGGTAAAAGCAGATTAGACTTGAATTTAGGATTGGCATGTAGAAATCTGGGTATAAATAATATAATATTACATACTGATTATCATTCCGTAAAATCCATGTCAAGTTTGATGATGATTATTACAAACATAATAATATGGTCATCAAATTACAATACAGGAAATTAAGACATCTGTACCAAACTAATCAGTTGACTTTTCCTATTTACATTTTAAGTGGTTGTTGAGTGCCTCTTTATATAAAAATATATCAGTTACATGTAATTCAATATCCCTTTCAATAGTGAAAATACTCTGCCTCATGCACAGTATCCATGTCTTTTGTACCTGCTTGTATGAGTTAAATACATTCTATGTAGGCTTACTATGGAAATGATTGAGGAAAAGTATTGTTTTGCGTAAATACATGTAGTACAAATGTATTATGTCATGCTGATTAATATTCTATATTTAATACATATATCAGACATATTAAAGGTATTAGTATAACCATCACACCTATAATGTCAACAATCAGTATAAACATATTGTTTAGGTTAGTTCATATGTTATGTACAGTAGTTAGGGTGTTTAAACGACAGGTGTTTTAATACATTGACACTGTATACACCTGTATTATATATACAATACCACCAGCCAGACAGTTGCACCATATATTGAAACTGGATAATATACCACTACTTACCTTCAGATATGATTTATATCTTGGGTTAGGAAATTTGAACTATCTACAGTTTGTTGTAAGTGAGCATACATATTAAGTACAATAAGGATTATGTGATTCTTTCTAACTTAGAGTTGTGTTAATTTCAGATAAAAGCATTCTGATATTTGACATTTACAGTTGGATCTAACTGCTATCTATATGTACATGTACAGTAAAAGGAGAATAAAAACTGTTTTATATTAACTACAACTGTGTGTATTCTAAAGTGATACTGTTACTTAAAAATTTTGACAAATTTTGGGATTTGAATAAATGTCTTGATGGATAAGCGCTTTTCGGGAAGGTCTACAGAAGTATTCACATTAGATTTATCCGATTCAGAATCAGTTTGTACCGATGATTCTCTTTCAAGTCCAGATGAAGAGGTTGGTTGTAATCTTTTCTTTATTCAAATTACAATACCACGTAACTACTTAATTTTAATTGACTTGACCTCATGTAAAAGAAATGTTCAATGGCAGGATTTTACTTTCTAAACAGATAATTCAAAAGGTTGAATAAATATTGACTTTCTATCTATTTAAATACATTTTCAAATCAATCATTTCAAAGTGATGGGTAAAAGCTACCTATTTACATGTAGATACAATTTTACAAACATGAAAAAGTGATTTAAGTATAATATCAGTACATTCATGCCTTGTTTTAAATATAAGGTTTATAATCATTATGGTCAATAAATTTATGAAACAGTAATTAAATTTTTTCAATACAATAAGTTATAATATCATAAAAATATATAAGAAGTTTATACTGAATGATATCGCCTAAGAACTAATAAATAGTTTTGTCATACTCATGGCTGAAAATATTTTAAGTTTTGATGACCAATCAGTTGGAAAAATGTACCAGGAGACGTGTTCAGCTTATATAAATTATTATTGTACATGTAATTTGAAAGATCAAAATAAGATTTATTATTGCAGTTGGAATAGATGGATGGGGCATGGTTGACCTTGAGATATTTTTCTAGTTATTTCGGACTACTTTGAAAATAAAAAAAAATTGTAAATTGTCCTATGCTGTAAATTGAGTTTCAAAATATTAAATCATACAAAAATGTTTGGCAAAAGGTTCAATGAATGTGAAACTGATGCTACATGTAATTACGCCATCAATGTTAGAAAATATATACATGTGGCGAATAGTACATGATGTAAGTTAGCTACATGTAGATTTACCAGACTCTGGCCTGACGCACATGAACAAAATCATTCTTGTAGAATGGGCTTCCATAGGAATATAAAGACAATTACTAGGTTTCAGCATGCTATACAATGTATGGAGTATTGACAACTACATGTAACAATGTATTATTGCATCATTATAAACAGCTGTAATATCTGGCAATATCTCCTTAAACACCATTATTATCAGCTAGCGGTTTGATATCGTCTCTCACTTGATCACTGAATAATTTCTACTATTTACATTAATAAGTAATGGATTTCTCTTCCATTTACCATTTATGCTTTGAATCTATATCTTGAGATGTAAAGTGGCAGAACCTTCTGTATATCCTACCTCTGTAATGCTGTTTATTAAGAGTATTTAGGTATTTTAAAATTGCTGCCGGTAACAAAGGGTATGTCACTCTTTTCTAACTCTATGTGTGCTGTATCAGAGTGACAGTAGAAATTTCAGTTTGACTCAGTACAAAGGGTTTCACTAATAAATGTTGCCATCCAGTCAGTCTTGATTGCAATTAAAATGTTTTGAGAGTGATTGGAAGCAAACGTTTTGATGGATGAATTACACAGTTTGTACGTGAGAAGGCATCTTTTATATCTGATGAACTTATTATACACAATGTTTTTAGGCCATAAGAGTTCTTGAGACAAAGAATTAAGCCTTTTGATTTTCAACAATTCAAATACTTACTGCCACAGTTATGGGCCTTATCTTGTGGACGATCTAGAGACCAAATTTATCATCCAATTGACTTTAAATTTATACACAGTATAACTAAGACCATGGTGTGGAGAATCCTATTGATGCACAGTTTGACAGTTTTGTAAGGCAATTGGTGTACCTGTATAAATATGCATACATGTATACATTATATACTCAGGACAGTAAGCCTAATAAAAATAATTCCAGAAAGAGATATACATAAATAACAATTATAATAACAAATCAACAGCTTCTGTTCTTGAAAGCTCTCCAGTAAACAAATAAAATAAACCAGGCTATATCAATTCTCAGCTGTCCTGCATGTATAGTTATGTACATGTGTACCATATTAAAATGGCGTACCAAATAAATTCTTATATGCAAGGAACCCTACCGAAAGGGGTACCAAGTCGAACTGCTACACTGGTATTTCAAAATACATATATCAGAAAGAGCAGTTCTGTACATGCCAATTCAGTGGGTTTAAGCCTTTGTCATTCTTTTCTTATGCCATTAAACAATCACATTTGGTATCTTGATATTGTGCATTATGCATTGTAATGAGAACAGTGACAATAAATATTGTTTTGCATATCAAATATGTAATTCTCATATTACTTGTTTTGTTCAAAGTTTTCATCTGCGTGAAGTACATCATGTCATCCATGTTATGTGTATCCAAATTTACAAGTGTATCTGAATGAAATGAGCAATAGTCCTCTAATAATAATTTTGTTTACTGTTCTTTTATTAAATTACACTGATGACATATCACACATATTTAAATATTTATAAATTATATTTTAGGAATCTACATGTATATAGGTTAGAACACAACAATAGATAATAGAGTTTAATTTACTATTATCATAATTCACTTGTGTTGACAATGATATCTATACCCTATTCAAATGTGATATATTATATAAACTACTGTCAGTTGTGACTATAGATTAGAATATTTAGCCTGAGAAATGTTATAAGATGTGATAATCTGAACATATTTTAAATAAGAAATGTGTCAAAGGCTGCCTTGGCTAGAGTAGAAACGAAAAGAAATGGGGTTTAACATCCTGCTGTTCTCGATCTGCTCCAACTGGGCTAATGAAGACAAGCATTTGCCATGCTGTGCTATAAGGGAAATTTTGCCTGGACAGTGACACTACAGCCTACTCTTATATCGAATTCCAACTGTCAAGGGTTCTTTTGCGTGCATACCCAATGTGGTCATGGGATCTCGGATTTTCATCCCATCCGAACGGCTATACATGTACATGTACATTGTCTCTTGGCTGGCCCTCTTTCCGACACCACTGACATGGATGAACTACGCCGTAATGAAGTCCTATGAACTTTCTCGGCCAGTGCAGGGATCAAACAAGGGACCTGGGTTAGCTGGCCGAATCTTACTCGCTGAGCCCCCTTGGTTAGAAATAGACATCTATTAGTTTTTTGTTCCTTGCCTTTCGAGGAAAAGCAGATGACACTTTTTGTGACACAGTCAATCTGCTTCTAATAGAGATAGAATTTTCAGCCTTAGTCATACATGTTCATTATGTGATGAATGTGAATGGTTGATACATTGTACTTTAGAACACAATTATCATGCTTTTGATTGAGGGGGAGTGACTTCTAGTTTTAGTTTCATTACATGGGTACCTTGACTAGGTTTGTTTATTACCCTTTTCTGCTTAGTATGCAGTTTGATTGCTTAATACTTTGTACGTAGATAAATGTGCAAATAATTAAAGTGTGTTATCTACAGGTATTTTGGTATTGAAGTGGGGGACACCAGCCCCATTGTTTGTTTTTCAATATTCTTGATAATTATCCAAGATAAATATCTTATTGGTGTGTAACTATATCTATTTATCGCTATTTTTCTGCAGAAATACAAACACATTTTAGCCTTTCTTCATATTTTCACATTTAGTTTGTGTATACCGCGCCCAGGTACTTAAACATACATTATGCAAGAGCTAAATCTGCCTATTGCAGGTCTTTCTTTAGGCCTGAAATGATATCTAAATTATTAATTAGACATTTATTAACGTATTCAGACCATAATCAACTCACGATGTCATCGCTAGCCTGCGATGTTTATTGGATTAGGTTCCGATTTGCTGTTCGACTTTCATTCATGATTTAATCATGGAATGGATAATCAAGACTATGTTTTTTATCATACCGACTTTAGTAATGATGATCAAGGCTAGGCCGAAAATTCAATCGCTAAAATTTTGGTTCAGAGTGGATCAATTTGACTGAAATTTTCAGCAAATTCCCTTTGCATTATTTAGTTTTTAGCTATTATAGTGAGAACTGCCAGCTTTTTATCTAATCTCCCATAATGTATAGATCTTTAAACTAAACCAACTTTTATTAATGGTTACCCGGTGGAATTCAGGACTTCATCTTTAAACTCCATTTATATCTTAGAGTTTTGCATTTTCTAGAAAGTTTTAGTGAGATGACAATAATGCTTCATCCTAATACAAATTGTTACATGTTCTTATATACAAAAAAAAAGGTAAAAAAGATGACTTCAGTTAATTTTACAGCAATGAGAATTTAATGGTGGGCAGATTATTCTATCTGAAAGGAAATACCACATAGGATTTGACGTAATCAAACTGACACTTTGTTTTTATAATCAAAGGCAAGCTTTTCCTTTAAAAAACGAAGTCAGTCAGTGCAGTTTGGTCTCAAAGGGATAAGAAATCTTTAGTTAGGGCGAAAAATAAAAGTTTTGATTTGATTAAATTCAATTTGTTTTTCGAGAGTATAGTTTTATTTTCTTCGATTAAGCTGATCTGTATGACATTATAGATTTAAAATAATTATATGAGTGTAAGATTATTTTGAATATGATATTATTCAAAATTAGGGGGCCACGGTTGCTTAGTGAGTAAAATGTTGGCTTGCTAACCAGGAGCTCTTGCATTCGCTCCCGGTGTTGGTCAAGGCAGTTTCTTTCGATTTTCAGGCTTGGTTTCCCCTCGTCAGTAGTGCAGGAGGAAGGGCCTGGCAAGAAACAGTGTCCAGTTGTTCAGATAGGACAAAACGTTGACGTCCCATGTACACATTGTCAGTGATGCAGGACAGAAGGCCTGGCAAGGGACAGCATATAGTCAGTCAGATGGGACGAAAAACCAAGGTCCTGTCACTCCTGTGTACACAATTGCAAGCACATAAAAGAACCCTTGGCCGTTTGAGTTCGCTATTAAGAATAGTCTGTAGTGTTGCTGTCCGTGCAAAATTTCCCTCATACATTTTAGCATACTGTATGGCATATACCCGTCTTCATTAGCCCAGTTCGAAATCAATTATATATTTTTCTTGATCTTGTATTATTGGTTTATAATTTACTTGATTTTATTTTTCAGAATGGTGGTCAGGGCTTTACTTATGAAAAGTAAGTATATTAAAACTTAATATTGGACAAAAATCATGCCTTATCAAAAAAATTTCTAAACCAATTTCTTTTACATGTTTTTTTAATTCAGTTTACTTTAGTTGAAATTCTAATTAAGGTTCTGTGAAATATTTGTATAATTTGGGTGATAATCGCAAATGGTATAGCTAATAATGGCAATATCACATCTTTGGTAGACCTATCATCCGGGGTTTCTTCAAGAAAATAACTTATCATGGACCTGCTCTTCAGTACATGTATGTCCTATTGCCTGCCTGTGGTCAACTACTACCACCTTCAATCTACAATCTTTTCCTCTAATTAGAGTATATTATAATATACTAGAGGTTACTTGATAACAATAAATAATAATTATATATATTTAAACTTAAATATTTTATAGTTGTTAAAGGGGTAGTATTGGTGCCTAGTTATGGTGTAAGTCTACCCCGTAATGTTGGACAAATGGCCGTATTAAATACTACCTGGTGGTCATAGACCTATACACTAGAGTAGATCGGATATAACCACCAACATATAGCTAATAATTGGCAATATCATATCATTGGTCAGTCTGATTAAAATACAGATCTTTATTTTATGATCAGTAGTGGAATACCGTGTTTTATCAGTGAAATAAAAGTGTTATTCCACTGGCTAGCAGTAGTGCATGTTGTTTTTACCTAAAATGATTGTAAAATCATAAAATAAATAGAACATTTGTCGTTTTGTCGTGAATAATATATTTTATTTCATCTCTAAGCAAGAAAACGTTTATATTTTCACTCATGCTACGCATTCGTAAAAATATAAGTTTTCTTGCTTCTCGATGAAATAAAATATGTTATTCACTCTAAAACGACAAATATCCCTTATATATTTTGTTTCTTTCTTTTTATACTTTCGATGGCCTCTACTACATGAGGATCTGACCAACTGTAGTGGAGGGAAGCGTCAGGTGTTATATGAGCGACTTTTGACCCTATGACGTCAGACATTTGATTAACCAATCAGCGTTGATTTTTCTAGTAGGATACCCAAGAACTCGCTGCAACAGACCGTTTCACTGGCTAATCCCTCACATCAACCAGAATGCGGATAATATAATAGCTCTTCTAGATCTTAGTGTAGTACTAGTAAAGACAAGGAAAACAAAATTTTGAACTATAAAAATCAAAACGAAATCTGATCTGTGTTTTAATCAGATTGATCATTGGTAGACCTATACACTAGAGTAGTTTGGGTATAACTGTCAGGGGGATCACATGGCTAAGTGGGTAAGACACTGGCTCGCTAGCCTGGAGGTCGGGTGTTCGATCCCTGCATTGGCCGAGAAAGTTCATCCAGATTTTCCGGCGTGGTTCCCCCTTGTCAGTGATGCAGGATGAGGGCCTGACAAGGACAGCTGTCTAGTCGTTCGGATGGGACGGAAAACCGAGGTCCCGTGTATATATTGGAATACACGTAAAAGATCCCCTGGCAGTTTGAATTCGATATAAGAGTAGGCGATAGTGCCGCTGCCCGGGCAAAATTTCCCTCATAGCACACTGTATGGCGTATGCCCGTCTTCATAAGCCCAGTATAGGAGCAGAACAGTAGGACGTTAAGCCCCATTTCATTTCATTTCATTTCGTATAACTGTCAACTGTGCTTCGTGTCATGTACATGTACTTTACTTCACATGATAATAAAATGTGCAACAGAAGCCACCTACTGACAATAAGATAATCCGCCTACCCGAAAAATTTGAAAAGTAATGCTAATGATCAACTTCTATATGAAAGTAAATTATTCTCCAGTTAATGTTTCCTGGTGAAGGATATGACAAAACATCACATTATACCCTGAACTCTTGACCTTTATGATATAGACAGATAGGCTTATCCATTTATACATTTAGATCTGATGTACATGTCAGTTATTAATACATGGAAATAATAAAAAAAAATGTACCCAATAGACTATTTATATACATGTCACTATTTTAAAGAGAGTTTGTTAAATAAATATAGCTGTGATCTAAGCACATAGCTTATCTCAAGAATAAAGGGAGTTGCCCAATGAAGTTAAATAGGAAAATGTATTTTATATAGTTCTGATCTATGCCCATCCCCAAAATATTGGGAGTTGCCCCTTGAAATTAAAAAGGGAAAATGGATATAATTCTGAATACATGTATGCACATCATAAGAATAGAGGACATTTCCCCTTGAAATTAGATAGGGACATGGATAGATAAAATTACATCAAAAACAATTAATTTTCTCAGGATTTTCTGTATAGATGTACATGTATATGTAGTTATTGTTTATGAAATGACATTATTTACATTTTGTCATATTATTATGTCTAAAACAATTGGTGTGATTTGTCTAGAAACACAATCTATAAGTATTAGGTGGATATTTCACAAACAAGTGATGTAAACATTGATTGTCTTAATCAAAATTGTGACCATAAACATTGGACTGAGATTCGATTTTTTAAGGCATTCCCAATATTTTATTATTATTAACAACAAATAGTGCAACTAAAAAATTGTAAAGATTGTATAATTTTGGGTGTATGACAAATAAATGAATTGTGCCAGTTAACATTTCTTGAGGTTATATAAATTGCAGTGGTTATCATTTCCTGAATCTTAAGTGGTCAGACTATAATGCAGTACATGTATGTAAGATTTAGATATACAGCTGGATGTTGTTGATATAACAGTAGATAATAAACATTGAAAATTTCAAAGTTATGAATAATTGAAGTTTTGACAAGAATAGCATATTCTGAATTGTCATTGTTATGATAATAAACAAAATCTTGATAACGTTAACCAATTTGATGGTACGGATGATCTGATCCACTTAATATCCAAGCCATCCGATGGTATATAGAGTTGATTATGGGCTTGTCATATAAATAAATGTTCAAATAATAATATAGATACATTTGAAGTCAGAAAAAAGACCCTGCAATAGGAAGATTTAGCTCTTAGGAAGTTGTAAGAAATATTCAAAATAAATCTACATGCAGCTTTTATGAAGGTAGACATTGTTAAAATCAATTTGTATTATGCTTGTTATCTGTCAACCATGAAATGATTGTAAATGTACAATTAAAGAATAGAACACAGATTCTCTATAGACTAAAACAATAAAAATCTCCCTATCATCCAAACGTGCCTGAAGGGTGAATGAGGATTATATAAATATACGAGTGAGAATACATATTTAATTAGGTCAATGAGAAATATACAATATAAATTGGAGATACAGAAGGGCATATCAAGGAATATAATCATAATTGCACTTAAACCAAAGTGTAGGCCTAGGAGTAGACATGCATCCCATTTCACAAAGCACTGTGTCTATGGCATAGATAGGCAATAGGCAGATTTAACTCTTTAATGCATCTCTTAACAGTCCCTAAATTCAATCAGTTCATTTCAATATTACATGTATTTGTTGGGGTTTTTTTTTCAGTGATCCAGATATGGAAACAATAGAATTAACAGAACAAACAGTTAATCCTGGACAGTTAAAAGCCGGACCACATGATTTTGAATTGTTAAAAGTTTTAGGAAAAGGTGGATATGGAAAGGTAATGAAAAATTACATATATTTGTAAATTTTCTAGTACTCTTTTGCTATAAATCATAAATATCTCTAATTTAAGCATCATTTAGAATTTTAAAAAAAATTGGGCCTGCTGGATGGGGGTGGTAGCATGGTTAGAATGTTCTGACTTCATATCTTGGCATTGAAAGAGAATAATGTTCTATTCTAAGCCTGATTATCCCTTATCAGCAGTGGTTTCTGTGGGACTGACAAGAAATTGTGTCAAGTTGTTCCATTGTGTACAATTTGATACTGTATATGGAAGATTCCTTGGCAGTTGGAATTCATAGACATGATAATAACTACATGTATACAACAGAATTTCCATGTTAGTCTTAACATGTTGTAGAGCCGTATAAGATGTTTCAGTTTTGTTTTTGATTAACAACTTGTTCTGTAATATTTCATGACATTAAAGAAGCATTATGTAAGATTTAATAATGAGTTAGCTGCTCTTGCTATAATAGTTCAAGAACAGATAATAAAGATATTAGCCTTTGAAGGTTTGACAAGATGTGTGTCAAAGCTTTGTTGTTCGAAGCTTAGCCTCGCTTCTCCATTTTTAGATTAAATCATTAAATAGCTAAAGAAAGACCTGCAATAGGCAGATTTAGCTCTTGCATAATGTATGTTTAATCATTTATTGCTTTTACCAGGTCTTTCAAGTACGAAAAATCTCCGGTCAAGATGCCAGTAAAATATTTGCCATGAAAGTTTTAAAGAAGGTAAGCTTATGTCTGTTGATATGTTAAGAGGGCTGGCTGAAAAGTTCTAACCCTATCTGTTAAAGACCTGTACAAAGTCATTGGTTTCCATTTATTTTTCTACATAGTCCCCTTTGTAGAAAGGCCTGGATGCTGTTCAGGAAGAAATTTCTTCACCCACCCAAAAAAAGTTGTTAACAGCTGACATGACGTCATCATTTCTAGGAAAATGACATCTGGTAGGTTCTCTTTATATTTTTGGAAGCAGGCCTGATCCATGGTTACACATCTGGCCAAAAAATTATCAGGATCTGTTTCAAAACGGCTCAGATTGTCACAGGACGTCAGGAATCAGACACGTTTCTGATCCGAAATCAAGAGCTTTGGCACCCATCTTGCAGAAACTTTTGTCATTCCTAACTCGTTGGTGATAATGTGCTCAACCCTCTCATGAGAGATGCCCACTGGCAGTATGTCGAGCGGTCAATCAACGACATATCATTAGGTCATGCATCCAGATAATGTTGTCTGTTAATGGCCTTCCAGGACGTGGGTCATTATCACGGTGCTTGAATTCCACAGCCCACTTCTTTACAGTGGAAAAGGAAGGGGCATCATCCCCTAAAATGGAGACCATGTCAGCATGTATCTGTGTTGGGGTTCTTCCTGTCAGTTGTTTCATGACCGTCCTGTAGCCAGTTTTGTCCATACACTACAGTTGTAGTTCTTATGTCTGTGATTCATTCAGTGATTGTACTCGTTGGTGTCAAAAGTTTGTTTCAACCCAACTGATGTATCCTTTTCGAGTTTACAACTTTTCAGTCAGCCCTTGTATTCCAGCAGCCGTATTCAGGAACCTTAAACTAAAGTATTTTTTAGAATGCAGTCTTTGCATTGATTAAGGGCTAAAATATGTACTAAGATATTAACTTACAGCTAACGAAAAGGCTAAATTCATAAAATATTTTGATTTAAATTAATAAGGCCCTTGGTTTGTTATATCTTGATTATTTGGCTATAATATCCATCATAATAAAAATTTTATTTTTACACTGATTATTATAACGATATATATATATATATATATATATATATATATATATATATATATATATAATATATATATATATATCTCCAGTTAGACCTTCCCCTCGATCACTTTAGCGGACCAAGGAGAAGATGGAAACAGTAAAAGGAAATACTTAACATCTTTTTTTTTAAAACTTGTTTCAGGCTACAATAGCCAGAAATGCCAAAGACACAGCTCATACCCGAGCCGAAAGAAATATATTAGAGGCTGTCAAGGTAAGCAATTAATTATTTAATGGAGTGACACGTCTCAATCAGTTCTCACTGGTTTGAGGTGTTCATATACATGTACATGTAGCTAGCAATTTCCATTATGTTTCCTAACATTGAGTTGTCGCTTCTGCAAATAAGAAGTCTAACCTTTGACTCTTTTCAGCTAATAGATTTGTAGTACTAGCCATGCACAAGACAAGATATGCATACTCTTTGTATATTTTTTTTAAGAATTTCATATAGCTCGTGGTTTTCATATATTTGTATTTAAATAGTTTTTAATTTAGAACAAATTAGGAAGTTGAATATTTTAAAAAATTACCATTTTCCCAGCCTATGTGTTTCTTTTGTTCATTTACCTATTTATTTATTTTTATTGTTTATTTACAGCATCCATTTATAGTTGATCTGATGTACGCCTTTCAAACGGGCGGTAAATTATATCTGATTCTAGAATACCTCCCAGGTGGAGAACTTTTTATGCAATTAGAAAGGGAGGGAATTTTTATGGAGGACACTGCCTGGTAAATGATTTAAAATATTTTATCTCACACGACCTGCGGTGATAGCAAATGAGTAATCATGGCAGACATATGTTACCATATTATTAACTGCTTTCACAATTATTGACCAATCAAATCGACTCCCAAGGTATGGATAAAATGAAGGTCACAGAAAGTACCCAGGAATGTTGAGTGGTTTTATTTGGAATAAGGAACTACATGTACTAACTTGTATATACTTCAAATTATATTTTTATCGCTGTATTCAATAAGTTTTAAGCCAGATTAGGTCCATTGCCTGGGTATTTTAACTTTATCTGATGTGCAATATGTAGTGCCCCAACTTACATGTAAGCAACAGCCGGCCGACCCATACTTTATTGATACAAAATAAACGTCAGTTTTAGGTACATCTAGATTATGCCTACAATCAAATTAAAAATAATAACCTGATAGGCATATAAATGTTAAATATTTTGATTCAGATGTATTAATATAAAATTTCATGGAATGTTCAAATTCAGAAACAGTAAATACAGTGCAGGTGTAAACATTTGAAATTTGTAAAAAAAATGGATGATTTAATATTGCATCTTTCTTTATAACACATATAGTCACATTATCATAGTTTTTATATGCCCACATTTTCATGTAGACGTATATTGTCATCGCCCCTGTCCATCTGTCCGACCACAATTTGTTTGTGGACATTCTACAGGTCACAATTTTTATCCGATTTTGCTGTCCATAATAATGGAATACTGATGATTTCTATTCTTATTTTCAATAGTAATGCTCTGTAGGTGTAAACATTTGAAATTTGAAAAAATTCTGAATGACTTAATATTTCATCTTTCTTTATAACACATTGTCACTTAATCTTAGTTTTTATATGCCCACATTTGGTATATCAAGTTTGTGGACCCTCTAGACGTCACGTGACGATTTTGATAATCACACATATCTGACCGTAACTTCCTGGATTGTGGCCAATCGCATTTTTAGCTTGTGGACCAGCTAGAAGTCACAATTTGTATTCAATTTTAAAAAACGTTTAAATATATCACCATAACACAATAAAGAAGGTTGGGTTCAAATTTCATAAAAATCTGACCCAAACTGCCGGCCCCTCCTTGTATGCAAATAATGTAAAAGTATGTAATACCAAGATTGTGGACACTCTAGAAGTCACAATTTTTTTTATCCGATTTTGATGAAACTTAGAATATATCTGTATATCCCAAATATCTCAGTCCATTTTGATATTCGTGCATTTCAAAACATAACTTACTGGATTATGGCCCCTGATTGTAAAAAGTGGTTGTATCTTGCCTGGCAACCACTGGTTGAACTTAATGTAGTCTTCTTTTGTTTCAGTTTTTATTTATCGGAAATCACATTAGCTATTGAACATTTACATGCCCAGGGAATTATATATAGAGATTTAAAACCAGAAAATATATTACTGGATGCTCAAGGTGAGAACTTCTAGTCTAGTTTGTCAACCAACTATATTTATTTAACTGTTAGTTCAAGTTACTGGCTTTTCTTGTGTTTGACTAATGGGATGGATAAAGAATGTACTAAGAACTTCTAATATTGTACAGAAGGGGTCTGACTACATTTATATTGCTATCAGCAGCCATGTGATTTATTTAAAGTCATTCCCGAAACATGAAAATGTATTTTTGTTCTTTTTGGAAATGGATTTCTCATCTCCATATTTGAATTGAATGTGCTTTTGTGTTTAAGGTCATGTGAAATTAACAGATTTTGGTTTATGTAAAGAATCTATTAACGAAGGCACCGTAACTCACACTTTTTGTGGTACCATAGAATATATGTAAGTTTTCAATAAATAGCTTCTTCCATTTAAATTTGTGTCCATGGATGCCAATGAATTTTGACTCATTGCAAATTTTAAAACTAATCATGGAATACTATATATACTGAATGCCATTTGAATTTTATTATTTTCAGGGCACCTGAGATTTTAACAAGAAGTGGGCATGGTAAAGCTGTTGATTGGTGGAGTCTAGGAGCTTTAATGTATGATATGTTAACAGGAGCTGTAAGTTTCGTATTTATATGTGAACAGGAACTGTAAGTTTCGTATTTATACTGTTGTCAGATTAATATTCTGTACCATCAACCAAATAAGCACTTCTATTAATCTTTCTTATTTTGATAATAACACATAGATAATAGAACAATGAAAATTCTTGCATAAAACAGTTCATCTAGAATTTAAGTGCTTAAATACAAAACATGGTACATCATAACATACAAAAATACAAAAATGAGATAATTACGCAGTGAAATCACAGTTTCCATACATAACTGGGCAGTAGAATAAAAATGAGTAAAATGGATAATTATGTTGTGTTTTGCATTTAAGCTCTTTAACTGTTAATGGCTGTATGAACTGTTACTTATCTTTAGTTATGCATACTTTAGGTATAGTAAAATATTTGATCATTTCCAGAATACTGATGATGTCTTGTTGATGAAATCTTTTCTTATTTTTTTTTAGCCTCCATTTACGGCCGAAAATCGTAAAAAGACAATAGATAAGGTATAAATGGTATTGTATATTTTCATTATATAATATTCTTGGCAACTGAAAGAATTTGGTATTATAAAGTATATAATTGATAAGATTATATGTTTATGTTTAGTTAAAAACATTTGATTTGACTTGCAACAATATAATCTTGGTTTGTTTTAATAACTTTATCCTTTGGATTACTTTAAGTCTGAATTTTATTCCCTTGAACTTACGCCATACCCCTTGTCATTGTCTTGCATTTAACATTTTCCATTTTCTCTTTCTTCTCTTTAAACAACTTTTGAAGATATCTTTATATAACTTTGTAAGCACATCAACTCTATCTCAATCAAATAGTTTATACGTTGGCAACACATTGGTGGGCAATTATTATTCCACAGCGCATGCCAGAAACTATTCAAGATATCTTTCAGAAATTTTGTTTCAAACTTTTATCATTCATACTTCTAGAACCGTTTTCAGTCTTTTGATACAATATGTTAATTTGAAAAAGAAAAAAAGGGTGGTAGTTTGTAATTGAACTCAGTTTATGTCCACTATAACCAGGTAACATAATTTAGGTGCCTTATACTATTTGCTTTACATCTAACTTTTAACTGGGAGCCACAGTGGCTCAGTGGGTAAGACGTTAGCTCGCTAACCTTGGGGTCCCATGTTCAATCCCTGTGTTGGTCGAGAAAGTTTATCAGGATTTTTCCGGGATGGTTACTTCTTGTCAGTAATGCAGGCAAGGGACAATGTATCGTCGTTCGGATGGGACAAAAAACCAAGGTACCATGTACACATTGGCATGCATGGTTAAAAATCTCTTAGTAGTTGGAATTCAATGTAAGAGTAGGCTGTAGTGCCGCTGTCTGGGCATAATTTCTCTCATAGCACACTTCATGGTGTATGGCTGTCTTCATTAGACCAGTCGGAGCAGAACAGTAGGACGTTAAACCCAATTTTTATTTTGTTTCGTTTTCTAACTTGTAACTAGTATTTCATTGTTGATAACCAATAACACAGAGATTGTGTATGCCAGATGCCTGTACCTTCCAAAATATGTCCAAGGGCCTTTGGTGTTAATGTCTTCTTGTTATAGATTTATATATGATGAATATGCTCTTTTAATTTATTTAGATTTTAAAGGCCAAGTTAAATTTACCTCCATATCTGACACATGAAGCCAGAGCGCTTATTAAACGAGTAAGTCTGCTTGATTCATTTATTTATTTATTTCACTTGTTGTTTAGACCGTTTTTGCACAAAATACATATTTGAAAATATTGTGTACATATTAAGAACATGTCTTTGATGGTTTAGACTTAAACACTAAATTGTTGTATATTATAAATTTTGATGTGTATAGAATATATAATATTATTGCATATTTATAAAATTTGTTATTGCTCTTCAGTTATTACGTAAATATCCAGGTGAAAGATTAGGAGGAGGACATGAAGATGCCAAACCTATTAAGGTAAGTCGATTGTCAATCTTAATTTTTCACTAAAAATTATAATAGTAAGTCAAGGAAAACCACACCACACATCATAACACACAGACATGGTAAGTAATGAAATACTATCAAATCAAGTAAATGGACTCGGGCACTGGCCAAAAGTGTTCACTAGGTTGCACAGTCTTAAATAGGGCTGGGGTAATGGTAATGGAATGTAATCATTACATTTTTTAAGTAATGGCCATTTAATGAGTGATTAATGGACAATTTCAAAAGAGATACAGGCTTCACTTAAAATGAAAACAAACTTATAAAAAAGGAGGCAGTTCCTGCAAAACCTTTACAGCAAGTATGTTCTAAACATTGTGTTATATCATGATAGCACGTTGAAGAAAGATCTATTCAGTTTCAAAATAAAAGAAGTAATTAACAAATCACTAATACACATATGTTTTATTTTATAGTCAGTGTTAGCTGGATTTTACTTATAAAGACAAAAGGAATTCTTATTATAATCTGTACTGATTAAAAAATGGATTCATCTCCATTCATTTTGTTTTTGTATGACTGCTATTTTGTGTTTTTTTGTTATTTTCACCAATTCTTTTTATGATGCCAAGCTATTCATTCCTTATAATTAGCAGCTGATTTGTTTTATACTAACTCAAACCGTTCATTTTTCAGACACACTCATTTTTCCGTAATACTGATTGGAATGAATTGGCTTCCAGAAGAGTTGATCCACCATTTAAACCTAATGTTGTAAGTACATATGCATTTATTATCTTCGTTATTTATATTTGACAGATTATTTTTTTGCTGATAACCCGAAATAGTGGTTTATAGTTCTCACATATTTGGTCTGTGATGCAATTGCCAGAGTCACAATTTGCGATAAAAATATTAAAGTGATGGTAAAAAAATTGATTTTGGCGATAACGTTTTGGGGTACTAGCGATTCTTTTTGAGAACTGGCGGGAAAAATCTTAAAATCCTACTTGTATATATCCTAGATTGACCATTGTCAATCACAATCAAGTGGCCGACCATAAATTAATCAACTCGCTGATGATCTGGATCGTGTCAATGAGTAATGTTAACCAATCGTCTCAGATTAATGATTAGTTGATTGATAATTACCAATGATCTATATAGTAGGGGTTTCAGGTCAAAGTTTCAAATGACAGAAAAAAAAAAAAAAAATATTTTGTGAAAATATACATGCTACCCAAATTTGTTTATTTCATCAAAATATTCTAATTATATCCAAAGTTATGGAATTTTAATATCTGAGATCGACATCAATAATGTAATCAAAATGCTCTATACCAGTCAATGCGTGGCATGGCATGGCACCAAAGTGAGTGCTTTTCAGTCATATTTGAGTGACATCATAAGCGGTATTTTCCCTTCAGAATCGCTAGTACCAATTTTAAAACTGAAATCCGCACGTTATTGTCAGCTAAAATTTATTAAAATCATAATAATTTGAATGATAATATGTCAAATATTTATAATCTGGATGATACCTCAAGAAAGTTTTTTTATATTTAGTCGAAATTTAGCAATTTTCAGTCATCAAAACAGATAAATCCCATTTTCTCCGGGCCTAATTGTCCGACCACGTGGTATCAACAAGCATAATAATCACAAAAATGTTATCTATCGTTTGATTGGTTCTATACCAAAATCCCCCGGTAACTAAGGTGCGGATTCACCAATAAAGTGAGTCGTAGCAATGGAAAATCTCAGACCGCGTGACGTCAGAGCGGTATTTTCCCGCGAGCGTCTCATGTAAACAAACGATAATTTCACTTATATTTCGATAATTTTTTAGCCTGAATCTTTGCAGATATGGAGATTGATATTAAACTATTGCAATACAATTGCTAGTAATGCATTTACATAAAATAGTAATTCAGAATCGTAGATTGAAGTGGGGTATATTTCAGCCTCTGGCTGTCCGATTTCATGCTAAAGTCACGTGACCTGAAACCTCTATATATAGAGTGTATCTCAAGTCATTATTTACTCCTAATGATTAATCCAAGCTTTGATTATTTGATGTTTCGTTTCGTCTTGAAACAAAATGGAAAAAATCAAAATGGCAGATAATTCTTTTTGAAGAGAATTAAATATTTTAATAGTTGAATCCATTTACTTATGGTTCATATACGGCATGTAAAATATACAAAGATGCATAAACGGATATTATTATTTCAAATTATATTATAACCAATGGTCAGAAATGTAAGAACGAGTCCAATAGCAACTATTCTTGAGTGAGAAAACAGTCTACCATTTGTTTCATTACCGCCGCCATAATGCTCTAAAGTGAGCGACTAGTTTGATTGTAAGCATCTCTTACAAATGAAATTGAAATTTCTATCAGGGATTCAGATTCTGATACCATTAGAGTAACTAAAAATAACAATAGGCCTATTATACACGTAAAACATAAATTTATAGAAATGGGATGAGATTTGACGTGTAAACACTGAAAATATTTGACGTGAAAATACTGAAAATATATTGTGCAATACAGTGTGTAAAAAGACTAAAGTCACCAAAAACAAAATTTGATCTTAATAAATCATCTCAAAACTGCTAATGTGTTGTGTAAAGACATATTTGTTGTATATTGTATATACCGGTATTTGTTTTATAATAGGCCTACCTGAGAAATAAAATTGTTACATGTTGTCTTTTTTATCACGCATGTTGGCAGTTAAAATATTCCAGTTGGCAATGTACATATTTTATATAAAAATTATCATCCATTTTGGAGTAAAAAAATTGAAAGCCAATGTGAGCCCTGGTCAGTGGGCTATCATTAGTGAAAATAGCTCTGATAGATGCAGTCTTATTATTATGGTCACTCCTTTTAACATTTAAAAACTTAGTTAAAAAAATTGCACTCCGAACCTGTGGTGATCACGCCATTATATTACCTTTGATCATACAAATGTCTGAATAATCGAAACATTTGAAATGATCTTGCAGAATAACATGAGTTTTGATTTGTGTGTACATCTGAAGTCGTCCAGTTACAGTTTGTGCTTACCTAAAACATTTTGATGCAGGCATGTTTTTAGACCAAATTAATTTGCAATGATCAATTGGAATGTGATGTTGGGTAATATTAAACTTTTGTATTTGTGTAACATATTGGGACTTGTCAGTTTCGACCTGTAACATGCCACAATCATATTTCTAATAATAATTATTATAAATAACGTTTTATTAAAATATTAATTTGTTTTGTTTTCAGACAAGTGAAGAAGATGTCAGTCAATTTGATACAAAGTTCACACGGCAGACGCCTGTAGATTCACCAGATGACACAGTTCTTAGTGAAAGTGCCAATCAAGTTTTTGTTGTAAGTATCTAGTTATTTTAATAGAAGTTTTGATAATGGAAATTCTGGTAACAGTGCTGATACAACTAATGTCAGAAAACATATTGACTAAGTGCAAGAAAAAAAGGGTAAATACCAGTGTAGTGCATTGCTCAAGAAAATCAGAAATCATGTACAGTTAGGAATATGATATTAACATGTCCTTTTATACAAATATTCTCCTCTTTATTTACATTCAAGATGTTCTGTGTTAGATCATTGGTACTTTTGATTTTAGTGTTAAACGTATATGTTGTATTCATAGCTGTAGCTGTGGGATATAGATACTTATAATATATTGTTACACACTTTTACTGTTTCAGGGTTTTACTTATGTTGCTCCATCAGTTTTAATGGAGATGAATAAACCATGGATCTCAGAAAAGGAGCCCAGATCACCGCGAAAATTTATGGGGTCTAGCCTAAGGGCCCCTTTAAGGTAAGAATCTTTTATTAATTAAAACTGAAAAGGAATATCTAGGATTACAATGATAGATTGATGTTTATAAAAACCCTTTAACTATATTAAACAAGGTCTTATTAAAATATGAACTTTGTTCTGTCCCAACTTAGAAATGGCCCTGCTTGATTTGTCAATACTGGCACATACCGGCAGTTTTTGGGCGAGGTCACTTGATTTCACCGGAAGTCGACAAAAGTTCAGCCGCGGCATACGCCGAATGCGCCGTTACAATATGAACTTTGTTCTGTCCCAACTTAGCAATGGCCCTGCTTGATTTGTCAATACTGGCACATACCGGCAGTTTTTGCGCGAGGTCACTTGATTTCACCGGAAGTCGACAAAAGTTCAGCCGTGGCGTACGCTGAATGCGCCGCTTTGGCGGCAACGGCGAACACCGGCGCAAGATGGTGAACATGTCAACGAGATAAAATTCACGTTATTTAGGAATGCCATAAAACATTAATTTTAAAGCGTTAAAATTAAACCAAATGTTTTGAAGTTGAATTTGAGCTTCGTAAAACCAGAAGTTCATATGTCATTTATTTTTTCTCAGTAATATTACTAATAATAATTGTCTGCTTATTTTGTGGGCACTTTCAAGTCATACTTTCAAGAATACTGTTTTTGATTAAAACATGTCATGTAACTGGTTTAATATTATAACATTATCTGACGCCATATTGTTTTTATCAGCCGAATCACTTAATTTGCTTCGATACGGTAACCTGACCGTAGTAGAAACTGGCTCACCTATTGGCGGATAAATCAAGCAGGCCCATTTACAAATTTATAATTATCCCACACAGAACGGAGTTAAGAGGGGGACATTGGAACAGGTTCCAAACTCCGTCCATCCTTCATCCCAGTTTTGTTTCCATAGCATATCTAATATATCTGAAACTTTGTACACACATCAGTCTTATTATAGTATTTTACCCTTTGATATTTCAAATATTCACAGTTGAATAATTTTTGCATTTACATTGACACAAACTTGACTTTGTGTATACAGTTCAGACATTCTGCATACTTCAATGCAAGAATGTTCAGAACTCTTTTAATCACCTTTGTTACGTAAAGACGATTCACACTACTTTTTCCAGAACAAAATTTGTTGTAGTTGAAGTAGAGACTATTTGGACTAGATTACTCTGGCCGGCTGAGTTCAATTTGTCTTGCTCTTTAATTATGAAAACCCGATTGATGGTTTATTTTGTTATAGTAATAGCCAATTATAACAAACCAGTTATAATAATTCAAATAGATCAGTTATGATTTTTCAGATCAATTATAATTATTTATACAGATCAGTTATACTTATAATTATTCAAATAGAAGTTAAAATTATTAAAACAGTTTAGATATAATTGTATTCAAACAGATTAGTTCTATCTATTCAAACAGATCTATTTTTCAAACAGATCAGTTATAATTATTCAGACAGATCAGTTATATAATTATTTAGATCAGTAATAATTATTCAAACAGTTCAGCTATTAGGCCTATTATTCAGACAGATCCGTAAAATTTATGCAAACAGATCCATTATGATTATTTAGATCGATGAGTTATAATTATTCAGATTAGCTATAATTTTTTAAACAGGTCTGCTATAATTTTTTAAACAGATCTGTTATGATTTTTTAAATAGGTTTGTTGAATATTACTAATGGATCCTATTTCTTGCTTTTACAGTCCATCACAAAGTAATCTGGTAGAAGGTTTTGCTATTCCTAACTCAAATGGTCTTCATAGAGATGGCCTCGAAGCCATGGATACGTCGACAACAAGTCTTCCTAAAAGGTCAAGGTCGCCCGCTATAGCTACTAAAAACAGCAAATATAAACAGAGCGTATTTCCTGGAACCCAGAATAGACCTCCACATCTACAGTTAAATTAACGATACGCAATATTTAGGACAATTAATTTTTATTATTTAAAACAATTGGGATTTTTTTTTTCTTGAAATTACTATTTTTAAAGTTAAGCAGTGATATGCAACAAGTGTAAATAAAAAAAACCTATTTTTATTATAAATAATGACAGATTCTGATCAACGGGTTGGTCGCCATTACATGATGTTGTTATTTTTAGTAGCATCTATATATATATATATATATTTAAATAATTTATGATTTTACTTATATGTCTTTGTTCTTTGTCCTATGTTTATCTGCGATATGTTATCGTTTCTTGCCATTATTTGAATATCCGTCTCCTACTTTATTCCGTCGTCTTGCATTTCAATTCTTTACTCCCAATTTGATACAATATTTGTTAATAAGCCAACATTTTAAGTGGTCATATATTGCCATTGCTTTAGTCCGTTGGTCCATTAGTCTGTCATCCACATTTTATATTAGCACAATAGGAACTGCAATATAATCATATCTTTTTAAAATTGGTATGGCTTGTCTTATCTCATTAAAATTAAGATTTTCAATTTTATTTTTTGGGATAATGATCTCCAGAATTATGCCCCTTTGTTATAAGGTCTTGTCAGAACTTTATAAGCTACCATTATTAACCTATCTTTCTGAAATTTGTATTGGTTTTCTATCATATTGCAATAACAAACCTTGTTGATTTATATGGTTTCCAACCATTTTCTTTAATATCATCCATAGTAATGCTCCTTTGTTATAAAATCTTGTTAGCACCATAGCGATCATCTGATCCATTTTAAATATTCATGGGATTTTGAAAGATATTGAATGACTCTTTCCAGAGTTTTACCCTTTTCCCAGGAATAAATTATTGTACCATTGATTCTAAAGGGAATTAAACATAAAGATGCATTATGTAAGATTTAGATAAAGGGCTAGTTGTTTTTGGTGTGATAGTTAAAAAATTGTTTGCATAAAAAGCATATAGTGAAAATTTCATTCAAATTACTTTATTCTGTGCAAAGTTAGCAGTGTTTGAAGTTTTGACAAGACATAGCATAGATTGTTTATTATCATAGCAACGCTACTTGACAATCAAGACTTAAGTTTCGATTCACCATTTTTGAATTAATTATTAAAGGGTGATCATGTTTTAATCTATTTAAATCCCGGTCATCAGATGTTCTGGAGAGATGATTATAGGCTTGTCATGTGAATACATTTCTAAATAATAGTTTATATAACACTTTAAGCCAAAATAAAGACCTGCAGCAATAGGTAGATTTAGCTCTTACATAATGCATCTTTAAAGTCTATAAATGCAACAAGATAAATATGTGTGTGTCAACTTTACCACTAAAGCCTCAAGAAAATAATCTTGTTACAACAAAGTGGTCACAGTTAATGTTTGATATATGGAAGGTTTTGATTAAAAGCAAGACTTCTATTGATTTCCAACCGTTATCATTTGAAACAACCAGACTTATGCCCCCGTTATTACAAAATCATGTTAGCACTCCAGATGTCTTTTTAAATTTTTTGTCTAGTTAACTTACTGTTAACATGCGTAATAAAAAAATATATAATGCTACTTGGAGTTTCGACACTCAAATTTCAATAAGAACTGCAAAGCATTGTAGGTTACATGTATTACACAAGCCATATTTTTATATTCTGTGGGGATCACAAAGCTGCTGGTGAATGTTATGTTTTATTACCTGGCAATCTATGTTTAATAAATGCTCCCTTGATAATGCTGTTTTGGAATCTCCATGGTTACAAACAGTTAAGCTCTCTTAATTTCCTTTCACCGTCATTTCTTGCCCCAACTTACTCTTATCCTAAAAGCGACTGCAAATTACCTTGCACTTTTTTTTTTTCGCTGTTCTTATGGTCTGACGTTATCAGAAGAAACAATGTTTTGGGATGTTAGTTGAAGCTCATCCACAGCAAAACATTTCCTCACCTAATCAATTGGTGAAAAAATTTTTTCTGAAAATGTAGTCATATTTGTTTTTGGAGGAATAAGCAAATTAGCATAATGAAAATTATTAGTAATCTTTCATATTGCAAATGGAGTTGCTTTTTTTGTGTACACGATATTTAAATAAATGTGCCGATATACATTAGCAAAGTCTCTCTTATCTTATCTCTTTCGTATTAGCATGTGTTTTAAGTTGCATCATGGTCAATATGATTGAAACCGTGAACTCTGTAGAATCGGGATATGTAGAAGTAAATTTCTCTTTCTTAACCTGAATTTGAAGAATTTTCAATCAGATTATTTGCTGTTTACCAAAAATTTAAAACTATTGAAATACTTGATGCTCAGATATCAGGAATTGCATTGATCACGGTTTTCTTTACAAATCTCTCTTTTCTGTCTACATCTATGTGAATGTCTATATATCTTTGTTTACTCATGATGTTCATAGTTGTTTTTATGATCAGATGAGTCATATTTAATTGAAAAGTATGGTACGCTTTCGACAAAAGACAAAACAAAAACATCCACTGTGTAAACAAAGATTTAACACAGAGAGAGGTGTGTGTGTGTGTGTTAATTCTTCATGAATTGAGGATTGAATAAAATATATAATACAAACTGTTTCATTCAACTTTCAAAATAATTGACCAAAATGAGAGTAAAATATATTTTGCAATCTTAAAAGTCAAATTCATGTAGAAAGATTCAAAAGTAACAGAAAATGAAAAGATTTATCTATGACCATATTGCGTATGGGGACTTGATATGAAAAGAGCTTCTGGATTGTTTAAGCTCTGTTCCTTTTTCGAAGAGGTAGTACCTGAAGGTCTGACAAGGATAACATTTCCTTTGATGCGTACACTTAAAAAAACCTTGATTGTTGGAATTAAATGAAGAGGAGGTGAAAACACTGTTGTCTGGGGAATATTCTTCAGTCTAGCATTGCACATGTGACAGAAAACAAAAATCACATGTTACCCTCAAAATGACATGAAGTATTATGTTGAACTCCATTCGTCTTCTGTGCTATTAATTAGGGTTAATTCAGATTTCCCAACCAGCAAAGACTGAAAAATTTAAATTTGGGGACAAACCAAACATGGTTACATATCTTTTCATGAATCTGTCTTTTGAATTTCATTTAATCACTCTCTAGATAGTGTTTGCAAAATAAAATAATTTATTAAAATTACAACAAAAGGTGCACACATACCTCTCCAGATGTGCATGATGGAATAACCTAAATGGATAAGATTTAACATATCTGATAACAAAATTATTCATTTTGAAAAATGGATCATGGATTTTTTATTAACCAGAATATTTTTTTAACATATAGATTTAATTAATTTTTTTTTTTTTTTTTTTAACATACCATTAAATTCTCTTGATTTGGTGACAGAAGTAGCTATTTGTATGTGGAAGATCATTTCGTTTAACACAAACACTTTAGATATATGGAGTCCATTTATTCTTTGCACTTGAAAGTTTATCCTGAAATGACTTAGGCCTCTATTCACCAAGCGTTGGCTGGATCTAGTTTTACTTGAGATAACTCTATATTTAAGTAGGAATTTATATTGATTTTCAACAAAAAAATCCTTTGAATTAAAACAGTACTTAAACACCTAGAATCTATGATTATTCAACAGTAGCAACGTAGCAATAGAAACAGAAATTTAGAATCTGATTTCTTATCATTTATTTACATACAAGTACAGTAACAGAATAAAGACAGCAAAACAATTTTTACCCTTCGATAATATCTTTTGTTGATAACACCATTGTTTTCAATACCACAAATCCAACGATACATCACACAAAAACTAAATTGGCTTAGTGGATAACGAAATGAAATGAAATGGGGTTTAACATCCTACTGTTCAAGTTTAGTGAACAACAGTTTAAAGTTGAGTGCACATTAAACTCCATTTCCATATTAGGGGTAATATGCTTAGTGGTCAGATATTGAATTTATCTGCCGATTTAATGGTTTACCTTCAGATTCATTAGGAAACTGGTTTATCACTTACTATAGCTAGTAGATGTTTGCTTTGGAGATTTAGTAGAAAAAAAAAATTCTAATGAAGGACTATTTCTTAAACTTTTTAGAAAAATATCTTATTTGACTTGATTCTGTTTAACTAGTTCCGTCTTCATTAGCCCAGTCAGAGTAGAACAGTAGGACGTAAACCCCATTTCATTTCATTTTACTTAACTAGTTATTTAACGCTACGTTGCCTGGCAACATAAATTCATTTACATCTATGAAAAACTCTTTATGTCCATAACCCAAACCATTGTAGAACTGAAGAAATGATCTTCCAGAATACATCATCTAACCTTATTGACGCTGCTAGAGACCATATTTTTGAGTATTAATAATTCATCGAACATGTGTTGTTAAAGAAAATTATCAAATGTTAATATGTGTTAGATGTGAGTTTTGGCAAAATGTTTCTATAAATTCGATTTCCTTTTTACTCTTATTTATATAGGATAAAGTCTGCATTGGGAAAAATTAAAAATCCATTGAAACGATTTTGAATCATGATCTTAAAGCCAGGTGAGACTTGAGTGTGAATCCAGTTGAAATTATCAAAAAAAATATACGTGAAATAGGCACATTAAGTAGTTCTAGTGTCTAGATGTAGTAAAATGTCTTTTTCTCAAAACAATACAAATTTCACTGAAGATTATCTTTATACTGTGAAAGATGAAATTGTTTAGAGGCATGAGATTATGGCGATGGGATAAAGATTGCATGTTGTTGTTTTTTTATCCATATTTTGTAATATAGTTATAGAGCAGAAATTTCTTTTTTTATGGTACTTAACCATTGACTGATCAAAAGGAAACCTGATTCTTGAATTATTTTTTTAATAATGGCTGAATATCAGACCTACATGGAAGTGATATACAAAAATTTACATTGATCATGCTAGTGTTTTCAAATTTAGGTTAAATTAAATCCGAATTCAGTGAATTTATGGTTTTGAGCAAAAGAGCCTTCTAATATATTTATTCCTGAGGAAAGTTAGCTTTATTTCTGAAAAATATTATATGTATACATGTGTATATTCAATAATTTATAGTCAAGCACATAAGCAAAAGTCACTAAATATTTATTTTTCAACAGAGAATTAACTTCCATTGAAAACCTTCTTGAAGATAGATTTTAGTTAAAAATTTATGAAATTCAAGTAAACGTGATTGAATTGAGGAAAATGGATATATGTAGTGACTTTTTGCCACTTCTATACGGAGTTGAGTGATGGATCTAAATACTGATGTCTTCAGTTTCAGAAAAGATCTGCAAAAGTTTAAAAATACTGAATATGGTCCAAATTTTCTACTACCCCTGTTTATGCTTATCAGTAATTGAAACTGAAGATATTAAATTACATTTAGATGATATCACCAAACCCTAATCTCTGGTGCAATGGTAGTTTTCTTGTCAAATGGAATGGTTAATGCTTTTTGTTTTTATTTAGCTTTTCTTTTAAATGTTGTAAAAATTTCAAACTATCACTTGAATTAATAGCTTGGCTTTTTTCTACACTTAAACATTTTACTGGACTTTGCTTTGGAAAAAAAACCCAAAACATCTCTTAAAAAATAGATAAGTATAGTGGTATATATTTCAATTGATATTTCAAATCTGTGCATATATATTTTACACACACATATCTCCAAATGCAAACGTTTAATTACATACTGATAAGGTTGTAATGAGTAAGCAAAATCACAAACCTTCCTTTTACTGAAAAACAACATGAGATTGTCACATTATTAATTTGAGAACCATATTAACCAAGAACACAGTTATCTTTAGATCCATGGTTGTTACTTTTTGAGAACATGGTTATCTATAGATTCAAAGGTCTCTACTTCTTAAGATTCTGAATTGTTGATTTGCTTAGATCTCTTCTTTAAGGGAACATAAGATGGACGAGAAAACTTTTCGATAGGTATAGCCAATGGTTACTATATCCACTTCACAGCAAGTTCACACCAATCTGATTAGAATTAATTCAGCCATCATCACTCAAGGTCGCAAAAAGAGACCTCCCGTAAAACGAATTTGCCAATTATCGAAAACACTCTTAATCCCCTCAGATGCCAGTGGCATCAAAGTGACTGAATGCATATTCGGAATGTTTATTTCTTAATTACCTCTATACAGCCGACGTGTGTATTCATTAATGTCTGACTGATTCCTTAATCCCCTAATTAAATAAAAATTGACTGCGGAATAATTTGTTTGGTAATTTATTTTAATTTAATTTAAGATCCAATTAAGATTTTTTTTTATAATGTCATCACAAAGACAGTCAATGTAGCCATAACATATAAATTTAGAGCATCGATAATTTCAACAAAGTGAGAAGATGGCCCGCCCTCTCTTCTCACGACAGTGATTTTAAAACTGTGTTTTTTAAGTGACTTTTTGAGTGTGGTCATGCAAAATGTATCATAAAAGTCAAACATGATTGAAGTGCAATTTGTAAATGATGATCCGTTATCAGAGTAGTCAATTGTATCTCGTTTTCCTGTAGCCATTGTACGAGGCCTTTCTTTCTCCCTGTGGATTTGACTTCTTTACTCTGAAATGGACTGTAAAAATGAAATGTGAAAAAATATTTCAATATATGTTATAATTAACAGTATAAATAAATTTGACGTACTGGTAATTTACTTTGTTGGTAACCATCTAAATCGATTAACAGATTGAGAAGGGGCATCTAACTATCTTTGTGTATTAATAATAATATGGCAAGTGTAGTGTTGTTAATATCTGTCATTAATCAATCCGACTAAAATTCCACAGACATGGGGTCATAAATTAATTTTCACTGAACGCTAATTAGGTAATTATCTTTTTTACGCTGGCCAGATCAAAGACATCACTCTAGGTGGAAGTGGGCATAATACCAGTACCCCACGAATGAACAAAAAAAGTTTAAGGGGGAACTTTTCTACAAACATTTCTCCACACCATTACTAATTGTTGAATCGTTCACACGTTAATTGTATAGAATAATTAAGTTTTACTCATCAATTCTTTATAATTATTATTTACCAATAATCAATTAGCTTTGTTTACCGATGTTTTTGTAATAAAGTAGCCTCGTATTATTTGTTGATTGGCGTTTAGACAACATTTAATTGAATTGATATGAAATTTAAATGTCATATATTCGATGGATAAATGTTTGTGATAAGATTAGGTTATAATGTCTAACATCGTTTATCTTCTTTATAATAAAAGTATTCTACAATTACATTGACAGTTTAATCACTCACTAAACGGCACCAGGAACTCCATGTATGATTACATGTATTTGATATTCATGTCCATGAATCCCATGCAATTTTTCGCGCAAAATTTAACCTTAGTGTGCATGGAATTGTACATGGTAATAAGACTCCCAGCGTTGATTAGCTGACAAATGAGAGTGATCTATTGTTATGCAGTCATCAGAAAATTCCATATTCGCTGTGAATTTCAAATAGAGTTACAATAAAAGTTGTTCTTATGTATAGAAATGGTTACTATTATTGATATATAGCTAATAATGAATATATCGACAAGTGAATGGCACCATTTGTATTTCTGTACTTACAGAGAATGGTTTGGGATAGCAAGTATTACTGGGTTATCCAAATTATCGGTAAATGTGTTAATTGCTTGGATTGTCTTCATTTGCCACATGGCTTATTTAAACAAAGGTGGCTTAATGGATCTACGGCATAATACTTAAACGTTAATGTGTCGAATAATTTTAACCGGATTGATGTGAACTTGCCGTAATGTGTATATAGTTACCACTGGCTATAAGTACATAAAATCTAGTTTCATCATCTTATGTGGTCTTTAATATAGTATCTTAAGATGCTTATTAAACTTTTTTCTAGATCCGTTAGTCCTAAAGTCCGTTAGTTGGTTATCCAAAATCTTGATTACTAATAAATACCGTCAGCTTGCAATGTCATAAATGGTTGACAATGTCGGGTAACAAATAGGGGTGTTGACATAATTGTCAGAATCTCAAGATCAAGAGTTATTTATGTCAGGATTTGATCAAATCTGAATATTTTATTCTCTAGATAGTTTCAAAAACATCTTGAGATAGTTTTTTTTAATTCCAAAATAGGCAAAATATTTCTAAACATGGATATATGTAGATGATTCTATAAGGATCTTAAGATAATCTTCTTTTTAAAAATACATTCCTTTTAGTAGAGATAAAAATATTTCAAAAATAGGCAAAATAATTGTACACATGGATGAGAGTAGAGATTATTAAATTTAATAAATTTGAGAACAATCGGTTTTGTCACAGTGACACATTTAAAATGTTTGAGTCAAAGATTTCATAATTCATTCATGTTAAAACGTTGGGAACTTCTCAGCAACTGCAAACATATAATCTGTTTGAATATCGGCTTTATTTGTATTTTAACAATTATTTCGGCACATCAGTAGATGCTGGACACACACATATATTTTATGCAGTACTAACATCAGCATATCTCGAGTTTTATGATTTATGGGTCTTGCATGGGATAATTTGTCATGTGTAATGGTAATGTACTAAAGCATGAATAACGTCTAAATATACGTAAAATCATCATAGTGTTTTTTTTTTTTTTTATTATATATCTGTTTTGTGTAAAAATATATTGGATTCCTTGTATAAACTATAAGGTCTAGTTGGTGCAAGTGTTTAATGGGTTATTTATAGAACTTATAAGAGATGGTGGTGCACAATGATTCCAGCAATGATTACCGGTAATATCATAATCATTACCATGGTAGTCATCAATTTGTTCTTTATATAATTATTGTCTAATTAACATCATTATGAACGAAACAATTACTTTTTGGTCAACACCATGATCATTGACATCATCATTATCATATATTGATTCTGACGATAACAGATATAATGAACAACAGCTAAAGGTTGATGATCATAATGATGGTACTTTGGTATTGCTATGAATTTGCTAAAAATATCTGAACAGTGGACTTAAGACTAGATCAATAAGTGATAGATCATTGAGCCACATCCAACATATATTTATGGTCTGTATTCTGTTATTAGGAAAACATTTTTTGTTTTACCTGAAAAGAAATAATAATAGGTTTCTGGTAAATTCTGGTCTGAATTTTTACATAAAAATAAAAAAGAAATGAAGTAGATTTCTTGCACAATCAAATATTGCTAGAATTTTACGAGGAATTGTATTATATCTTTATTATGCAGAAATTAAATAGATTTTTTACAAAATAATATATAGAATTTTTTTTTTGCAAAATGAAATATAGAATTTTATTTTGCAAAATGAAATATAGAAAGATTTTTACAAATATTTATACATTTTTGAGAAACAGAAGACATAGTTCTTGGGCACTTGTCAGAATGGAAGATTCTATATTGTTAGCTCTGCAAATTATTTTATAATTATCCAATTGAAAAAAAATACCAATAAGTCATGTATATCATAATTTCTGTTTAATATTATGATCATTCTTAATCTTTATGGGTTTTCTAACACCATTTAATATTGTCTAACAAAAACTCAAACATGTAAAATGTAAAACCATGAAATATGTTAATTGAAAAGCATATCAGTGGATGTCATGTGTTAGGAAGAACACTTTAATCTGAAAACAAAAAATAGGGAAGGATTTACTTTTGCAATAATATGTACAATTGAAGCTTATTTAGCTACATGTTTATATATAAAATTTACCACTATTTCATCCTTTAGCACTTGGTAAATGTATATATTGATTACAGTAATCCAGTTCCTTGAAGAAAAGTGATATATTAATACCTTGGGAGTGGTTCACATGACATGACTAGGGTGGTTTGGGGAACCCTAATTAGATCTGTTTGGGGAGATTTGGGGAACCCTAATTAGATCTGTTTGGGGAGATTTGGGGAACCCTAATTAGGGTTGTGCAAGTGCTAAAGGGTTGAGATAAGACTGCTATATTAATTATGTTCTATAGGTGCTACTAAAAGTAACAATAATCTTAGACTAAAGATCAGAGTTAAAGGTATATAATATTATACTATTTTTTGTAAATAATGTGTAAATACAAATATTGTTTTTAATAAAATAATAAAATAATCAAGATTTTAAATGATCTTAATTTTTATTGAACAACTAGATATGTTTCGATGTGTTCATCAGTTCATTTCTCCATCAACTACAAACACTAACATAATTTTCTTGATTCGTGTATTGTAAATTTAAGCCTGCTGTAAACCTTTAATATTTTGTATTACAGTGCAGACAACATTGTGATTTATTCTTTTATAGATCAGTCATGTGGCAAAGGTTATTTCCATTTAGTACCAAAAGCTGAATTATATGTATCTGCAACTTTCGATTATTTTTTACAAATGGATACATTGCATGTTTTATGATTAGGAATAAGATACCATGAATACAGATTATTCTTATTACACCAAAAGATATAGGTTTGCAGCAGCCTTAAGAACAGGAAAATCCATTAGCTGAATTGTCATCTTTGATGGATTAAGATAATAAGGTTGTACTTGTAGGAATCTCTAGATATTACTGCTGATACTTACACCAGTCTCACGATTTTTGTCATGTTTTAAATGAAAGTTTACTGGAATTGGTTGTTGGTGGAGGGCAGTTTGTTATTGGTTTATATGCAATGTGATATTAGTTAAAGATGCATTATGTAAGATTTAAATAAAGAGCTGGCCATTATTGCTTAATAATAGTTAAAAAATAGATAATTAAAAGGATATTCTGAGCAAAGTTACGAGTGTTTGAAGTTTTGATGAGATAGTTTTGATTGCTAAGTACCATTGTTAAGATTATAAAAAAAATAAAATATTGAGTATCTATTTTAATATTAAATCATTAAATGGCAATGGTGTTCTAATTTATTCAATATCATGTCCATCCAATGGGATAGAGAGTTGATTATGGGCTTGTGGTGTTAATAAATGCCTAATTAATAATTTATGTAATATTTGAAGTCAAATAAAGGACCTGCAATATGCAGATTTCGCTCTTGGATAATGCATCTTTAGTAAGTTGGAGATCTTTTGACAGGCTTATAAGGTGTAGGGTATTTTTAAAAAATAAATTTAAGTTTGGATATAACTAGATATATCTGGAGAAAAGAAGCATTAAAAAAAGGGCTAATTTACACTATAAATGATATTTATTTTCCTTAATTAAATGCTGAATACTCGATATGATTTAGATGAAATTTAATCATGGGATTGATACTGTAGTAAGAATCTTTCATGGTGTATGTAAAATAATTTAGGACACAAATGCTAATTTTTGAGTCTGTATTGATTTAAGAAATGCTCGAAATAATGTGATGATTAAATGCCTTTACCTCTGATAATACTTATACTAGTTATATGAATAATGTATATATTCTCACAAACCTGTTTTACTTGTGGCCTCGTGTCTTACAATGAAAATAAACTGTTTCTGTCCTTTATTGTTGCCTTCAACCTTCTTTTTTATGCAAAGCATAATGTTTATAAATGCCATGGCGGTACTAGTAATTTTCTTTATTAATGCAATGGTAATTAATTTTACAAGGAATTTTGTTTATTAATACTGGGGTCATTGGAGATTGTGTTTATTAAAGATGCATTATACAAGAGCTATTTCTGCCTATTGCAGGTCTTTTTTCTGGCTTCATACGCTTTGCTCAGAATAAATCAATTTGACTGAAATTTTCAATATATTAATTTTTCATTATCTAATTTTGGAACTAAATCTTACATAATGCATATTTAATACCTGGGTGGTACTCATAATTTTGTTTATAAAACTGTGTTGGTACAAACTATTTGTTTATTAATGCCATGGAGGTATTAGTAATATTTATTAATGCCATGGTGGTATTAGTAATATTGTTTATTAATACCATGGTGGTATTATTAATATTGTTTATTAATGCCATGGTGGTATTGGTAATTTTGTTTATTAATACCATGGTGGTATTGGTAATTTTGGTTATTAATACCATGGTGGTACTAGTAATTTCATTTATTAATGCCATGGTGGTACTATTAATTTTGTTTATTAACACCATAGTGCAACTGCAAATCTATAATGGTTATTAACACCATAGTGCAATCTATATGGACTATTAGGCAAACAAAAATGCTGCAGTATTTAATCCATTTCTTGAACTATTTGTTTTGACTGATAACTTGTAACTCGTTTTTTTGAGGATTTTTTTCACTATAGATTGATAAATAATAATGATGTACATTTCTTGTGCTTCAAATCCAGCGATAAGTATACTCAAAGCGCTTTTAAAAGCTATAAACTACATGACCGGAAAGCAGCAATTGGAAATTGCCATAATTGTGGCCACAGTTTTACTTAAATAAACAGTTATTTGTACAATATTTTGAAGTTAAATTCTTTAAAATGCTTAATCTTATCATGCCTGTTATAAACAGTCAGTTTTCTTCAGGACCGGCAGATATGATGAAATGAAGGACTTGCAACAACTAGATTGAGATCAACTACAGTTAATTATAACAGTTCCAAGAAAATCTTTTGTGGTTGTAAATGATAAAAATTGAGTTTCAATTATGAACTTATCAGTAGTCCAAATAGTCACAGTACTGTAATCGTTTCCATTGATACATGTATCTATTATAGGCATTTATCACCCAAAATAATACATTCTACAGTAGATATCCCTTGTGTGATATATTTCATAATTTGCTGCGATATCTGCTTAGGAGAAATCGCTTTACATAAATTTGATTGGTTAGTTGAAAAGGAACTACTTTTTTTTATTTTCAAAGAACAGTTGATTTCTTATTAAAAGTAACTTTTTTTTTTATTAAAAATGAACTATTGTTTTTTAATTGACCTTGATGGAAACACTGGGTCAGTAAGGATTTTGCAATGGTTGAATTGCTGTCAAAAATGATGTATCACTACGCCGTAATGTAATCAGGTTCAGTAAAAGTGAAATCTACAGCAAAGAATTATATGTATTTGTGCATGTAAAAAAGGATTGGGTGATAAATAAAATCTCCTATTCATCTTTTTTGATAACAAAAAATATGAAAAAAGACTTGTAGGAGATTCTCTATTTAGTAATTAGAGCAATAAACTATAACACATACTTATGGAAGAAACAATTACTAATTTATTTGGGGTGACGTTTTGAAGAGTTTATTCTCAATGTTTTCAAGCAAATACATGCATTGATAATGGTGAGAGCAACCTCTTTGAAACGTTGCAGTTAATAAACTTTGTGAATGTTATCCATAAAGTTGTTCATATTAGTATATTGCTTTCATTAAGTGCCATTGAGAACATTGATGAGGATGCTATAGAAATTGATGGATGTCCAATCTATATCCTGGCCATTTTTAAGGGGCATTAGGTGAGATTAGATGAAGAGCTGACAGTTCTCGCTGTAACAGTTTAAAAAAAGATAATGAAAACAGAATATGCTGAAAATTTCAATCAAATTGTTCACCCTGAACCGTGTTTTATACTTTAAAAAAGTAGACCGTCCCAGTCTTTGAAGTAATATTTATTTAATAGCTTCAGCTTCAACATTTAACTCTTCCACCTGTCCCTACAATTATTGTACTAGTCCAAATTTATTTTTAAAATATTTTACATAAATCCTTTCATGCTATTTTCCTTCTCATATTTTCAAAGCTGCTGATCCTAATTTGCTTTTTTTAAGGCTAGGCCTAGTTTAATTCTCTTGAAAATAAAATGATCTCAAATTGATTATTTAACATATTCTTAAGAAAACAAAACCAAATTATAATCATTAGATAATCACCTGTCTTCAATGCAATCAGATTAAAAAGAGACCTGTTAAAGATATTACCCAACACTTATAAATGGCACTGGTATAGATTCTGTTATATGCGGGGATGCCAAATGTTGGCAAACTTTCGATTCACAATATCTTTGTAAATACTGAACAAAACTGAACCATTTTTGGACTGAACAGCAGTTTTTTTACCCTCCAAATTTGCATGCCTTGAACTTTAAACATTAATGATATCTTTTTATGCAGCAACCAGCTTTTAATAAGAAGCATTTCTTAACAAAGAACCATTCATGCTTTTGCATATTTTTGTCTTAATGCCTGTACATGTATATATGCCATTCATTTAAATCAACTTGGTGTAACACAAATCAAATTTCTCTAAGAATATTTCACAATACATGATTTTTTTTGTCTTTGTAGATAATGGTATATCTGGAACCAATGGATAAGTGGATGTAAATCAAGTGTTTATATATAGTATTATATATTGAGTGAATATATTAAAGATAATTCATCACTTATAGTATAAATATATTCATGTATATATCACCAGTAGACCATGTTCATATGGCCATATTTATTTTCAAAGTATTATGTTATTTTCATCCATGTTTGTCTATTCAGAAATCTTGTAAAACCTTGTTAAATTTTCTTTAAGAACTTGGTAGGATTGTTCAGCTCTGTAGAAGAGTAAGTCACCAGTATCAAAGGCAGTGCAATGAAGACGTACAATATTATCAGTCCATCGTCCGTCAAACAATTTCTTGTGAACTTGTAAGGATATGTTCATAAGGGTACAAGTCCGCACTTTGTCAATATTCAACATTTTAAGATTGTGGTTTCACAGAGCTATCTTATCAGTTATATTTTTGCTGATATACGAAAAAAATTTAATGGAGTTTATTTTTTTTTAAAACTATATGGGATTAAGGACCTGTGGAAGAACCCAATTAAAATCCATATTTTTTTTTATTGCAATTCAAGTATCTGCTTTTTTGTTTTATGTTCTAATAATTTTGAATTTGTTTTGTGGAGTAATCTTTACATTTACATTTTGACTGTTAAAGCTTGAGACAGAGTTCATAGTGTATTATTTTAAAACTTGTCCAGCAGGATTTTATCAGCTTAGATAAATTTGCTACACATTACAAAATCTGACAAGCCCCCTTCTATGTTTGAGTTATGCCCCTGACCCTCTCATCATAATTTTGTTAACACGACTGGTCAATAATTATATGATTCTTAGAAATAATTGATATGTTTGCTTGGCAATAAGCTTTGTGCATTAATTATAGTAATACTCTTGCCATCGTTGATTGTTAATTAACAGAAATGCTGGTGGATTATGTTTGTTGGCTGGTATTCAATGTTATTTATGGTCATCAGTACCCATGATTACTAGTGTAACAAAATAAAATATATACATGTTCACTATTTTGCATTTATTTTAAGAAGTTTTAACTAATATAATATTCTTATATTTAAGATTATCATTAGATTTTTTTGATAGTATTACACAGGCTATCTTCAGATAATGTTGATGGTGTATTACACAGGCTATCTTTAGATTATATTGATAGTGTATTACACCTGCTATCTTTTAGACTATATTGATAGTGTATTACACCTGCTATCTTTTAGACTATATTGATAGTGTATTTCACAGGCTATCTTTAGACTATATTGATAGTGTATTTCACAGGCTATCTTTAGACTATATTAATAGTGTATTTCACAGGCTATCTTTAGACTATATTGATAGTGTATTTCACAGGCTATCTTTAGACTATATTGATAGTGTATTTCACAGGCTATCTTTAGACTATATTGATAGTTTATTACACAGACTATCTTTAGATTATATTGATAGTTTATTACACAGACTATCTTTAGATTATATTGATAGTTTATTACACAGACTATATTTGCACGGACTATCTTTAGATTATTGATAGTATATTGCACATATTATATGTGTATGTAAATAACAAAGTCTGCTTCTAGACTTGGTAGGTAAATTTGACATTTAATATAAAGTATGACATTAGTTAATAGTTTCAGTGGTGCATATGGTCCTAATATTAAAATTAAAGCCCATTTCAGGGAGTTTCAATTCCAATATGTATAGGAAATCAAATGTTTAAGACTTTTGATTACTTGACAAATTTATACTTGTAACACATATATAATATATTATGTACATTGATTGTTACTGTATTAATTACTATAAATATGTGATAAAATCTGTGTCTTTCTGATTGTCAATAATCTATGTACTGTATTCCATGTAATAACCGACCAGCTGCTATCAGGTGGAGGCTCCTAATACAATGGAATCAAACAAAAAATCTAAAAGTACCTAATTTTATATCCATCGTAATTAAGCATGTGGAACGGTTGTCTATAGGTATACAGGTAGAAACCGATGAATATTATGAGAGAGCTGATCAAACTGGCTGTCCAGAGAATAAAGCCTCATTCAAACAGTAATACATTTTTATGAGAATATCCAGATTTGTTGAAACTAGGGGGGTTTCCATCCACATGGTCCAACATTCTTTGACATTTGTATGGTTAATGGCTTTAAATACTGGAAACCTGGGCAGGTTGGAGTAAAACAGGCCAGATGATCAATTGATAATACTTTTGTCCATGAACATCATCATACCAGTTTGAATATATTAGTAGTATGTAGTACATACTATGTACTAATCTTCTCAGCAGACCCTACAGACTCTGAGGCTCTAAGATGTTCAACTTGTTAAGCTTGTGATGGATGAAGGTGTATTAAGAAAAAGACAGCAAAATTTGGTTACTGGAGCTGGATGGTTATTACGTCAAATAAGATACATTTTAACGACAAATAATGTGAATAGAAAATTTGAAATCAGCTTGTAAGTGTGATATCAACAATTATATGTTTAAAAGGGGCAAAATTCAAATTTTGGAAATATTTTAGTATGTATGTAATGTTTGTTTGGTGAGAAAAATACATTTATTTATGTCAAATTGAATAGCTAATTAGATTACTGTACATCTTGATTCTGCCGTAATTAAATTTTCATTTCTAGACTAGAAAATAGTCTACATTTTGAAAAGATATTTTGGTGGTTTAAGGAGAATAATCCGTTACCAGTGTTGCGTGTACATAGCCAAATATGAAGGTTCGGACAATCAATATTGTGATAAATTCATATTGTCTGGTAGTTAGTTTGATAATCACTGGTACATTATTAATATAAATGAAGGTTCGGACAATCAATATTGTGATAAATTATTATTGTCTGGTAGTTAGTTTGATAATCACTGGTACATTATTAATACAAGACCAACATATCCATAGTTCATTAAGAGCATGTGATGCAGAGCCTCGTCTAAGGATTTGGTCGTGCGCGGCATGTCAAGCGACTTGATTTCTGAGCACTTAAAAAATAGTTTCGGAGATTTGATACACTATTAGTTTTGGCATCTTGTTAAACCATGGATTGATTAATACCCTGTAAAATCGAGATCAAAACACTGCTGCGGCTGACCCGCAGACAGAAATATACCCATAAAACAATCAGAAAGACGATTTTGTAAACCTACGCACCATGATATAGTATTGGCACATGGGAAAAACCTTATCAGCGATTTTTAAAACGTATGTATGTAGCCGCCCAGTCTTCAACTTTTGGGCTCAGTAGGCGGCACAGTTTGGCCAGTGCACTGTGGCAGCGCCGCCTAGTTACCATGTTAAAGGAGGCTCTGATGTGATGCATAAAGAATGCAACTTAATGAGATATCTCCAGTAGATGCCCTTAATCAGATAAAAAAAAAGTTTTAAAAAACTTGGACAAAGGATTTTTTTTTACTAAGTTGTATTTATTAAGTTGTATTCTTGATTTTTAAGCACTAAATTAAAAGTATTGTTTTAATCAGGCTTATTTTTCAATCCATATCTTATTAAGTTATTATTTAAAATTATTATCTATTTTAAATAATTATAAAGAATATTTCAAAATAGTTTATACATTAAAATACTACATTTTTTTTATTAATTATATTTTAAAGAATATTGCAAAATAGTTTATTAATTAAAATTATTGTATATTTTCAATAACTATGAAGAATATTTCAAAACAATTTATTAATTAAAAACTATTGTCTATTTTAAATGATTATAAAGATATATCAAAATATTTTTTTTTATCAAGCTGATATTTATGTATGAATAAATTTAATATTATTTCATTTTTTCATAAATGCAGCATGAAAGTTTTAGAGAGAAATTTATCTTATTAATGTTAATAGAAAAAAGTTTCGTACACATCCAAAAATTATATATGAAAGTAGATAAATAAAAATTATATCCTTAAATGGTTTTGCTACATACTTATTTTTGTATGTGTACATTTTAATGTGGTGGCCTTTTTATAATATTAGGAGGTATTTTTTTCTTTGCCACAGTAGTGATTGTGGAGTCTCAATTTTTTTGCAAGAATAATTACAGCACATGCATCACGGTTTGATTTTGTACCTTTATTTTCGTCCCTGTCTTTACCTTATGGAACACGATAACTTTGTGAGTGAATGGTGAATTTGGTTGTATAGTTTCATTGATGAAGATTTCCTGCGTAGTCTAAGCATAGATTTGTCAAGACTTTGGAACACAACTCTGCTTCTTAGAAAGTGTGAACTTGGTGTAGACGTTAATTACATGAATGTTTTTACCGAGTCGGATGATCAGCCTTTTTTGCTGAGGCTAAGCAAAGATGAGGAATTTGATTTGTGACTTCATTGGAATATAATAATGTCTTGAATGAGTTCGGTGATAAGCATTTTCTGCTTAGGCTAAACAGATGTAAGCAATTTGATTAGCTAAGCCTTTAGAACACATTAGGTCTACTTCTAATCAAGGTAGAATGTTTATACTTGGTGTAGATGTTCATTATGGTTTGACCCATTTGCACTACTGAAAATTCTGTTTTAATATCTTCCATTATGGTAATTATCAAGTAAATGGGGTTAATATCTCCTTAACAGGAGCCATTCTTTAAAACACAAAAATAGCTTGCCAGGCAACATAACATATGACCACAGCAGCTAAGTTGTCCAGGTATTCAACAAGGGTTGTCGCATATTTTTTCTTTTGTCGGTAATGAAAACATTTACAGCACACAAGAAACCGATTAACAGTAACAACATCCCATTTTAAGTTATTATCAGAAATCGTTACAACCTTTAGTATACAAAACATTTAATATCATGAATTTAGCTGTTCAAGTCAATAGAATATTCAGTGATCAAGGGCCATAACCCTGGAAGTGATTATTGGATATCGTTGAAAATCAATAGACTTCTTCATCTCATGACCTTAAACACTGTGTATTAATTTAAAGTCAATCAGATATGAACTTTAGGCTCTAGAGCATCCACAAGATTTTTCAACGTGATCAAGGGCCATAACTCTGGCAGTAATTGTCAGAAATCGTTGACCTTTAACACTGTGTATTAATTTAAAGTCAATCAGATATTAACTCTAGCCTGTGGCGTCCACAAGACATTTCATAGTGATCAAGGGCCATAACTCTGGCAGTAATTATTGGAAATCGTTGAAGATCAATAGGATTCTGCATCTCATGACATTAAACACTGTCTATAAATTTAACTTTAGCCGACATAGGGTGGGGGGTGACAACAATTATACGACCACATTTCAATGTGGCTTGTAATAAGAGAAAAACTCCATTAAACTATTTATTACAAATTTATTCAAATATAACAGCTAGAATATATCAACAATATTACATACCATAATATTTGTATACATCACCGGTACTTCGATAGGTCATGACAGATTTCTATAACCTACTCATCTATCCAATAAAATGCACAGATTTAGTGTCTTTAATTTCAAACATTTTATAAGATGCCACATCTGCATAAATATAAAATGACCAAAACTTCTTTACTGCAACAGATCGTCAATTAAGACATGATATACATACCCGTAATTTTACTTAGACAAAATAAATTAGTTTTTTTACAGGACATTTGAAATACACAAAGATAGGTTGCCAGGCAATGAAACATACGCCCACAGCAGATACATAATCTGGGTAGATAACAAGGGTTGTCGCATATTTTTTCTTTTGTCAGTAATGAAAACATTTACAACACACTAAAATCTGATTACGAGTAACAACCCATTAGTTCATTATCAGAAATCATTACAATTGGTTTCGACTGTTTGTCTCATGACCTTAGAAACTGTATAAATTTATATTAACATTAGCCTCCACAAGATATATCAAGGGCCATAACTCTGGCAGATATTTTCAGAAATCATTGAAAAACAATAGTCTGGTTCATCTCCTAACCTTAAACACTGTGTATAAATTATCTTTGGCCTCTAGAGCATCCACAAGATTTTTCAAAGTGATAAAGAGCCATAACTCTGGTAGTAATTATTGGATATCGTTAAAATCATTAGGATTCTTCATCTCATGACCTTAAATACTGTGTATAAATTTAAAGTCAATCGGATAATAACTTGAGCCCCTAGAGCATCCACAATACTTTTGAAGGACCATAACTCTGGCACTAATTGTCTTGTGAAGTTTCCCCACAAATAATTAAAAGCTTAATTCATCATTTGCATTTTTGCTAAAATACCAAATTTCTCACCACTTATACGCCAAGTTGATAAAGTAACAAAAAACGAGGCTCTGCCGAGTTTTTTTTTACTTTGTCAACGAGTGTTGATATTTTTTGATATAAAAAAAAAACGAGTAAGAGATTTTATTTATCACCCAATCCCTTCTTACATGCACAAATAGATAAATATAATTCTTTGCTGTAGATTTCACTTTTACTGAACATTACGGCGTAGTGATACATCATTTTTTGACAGCAATTCAACCATTGCAAAGTCCTTTATATTGACCCAGTATTTCCATCAAGGTCACTTGAATAACAATAGTTCATTTTTAATTTAAAAAAAGTAGTTTCTTTTTAACTGACCAATTAAATTCATGTAAAGCGATATATAAAATATATCACACAAGTGATATCTACTGTAGAATGTATTATTGGGTGATAAAATATGTTACATGTCATAGTTATTTAAAATTAATTTATTCAACTTTCTTCTTTTTGGCTTCTTTGATGACATCTTTTCTTAATTTCATCATATCGTTCATCAAGTTTCTGTTTAGAATACTTGAAGCACAGAATAAACCAGCATACATAACAGATATAAAACCACAGGTTGATACATCTTGACCTGTAATTAAAATCATATTATATACACTCTTCTATCATGATATTAGGCCAAATAAATTTCATTAGCATTATTAAACAAAAATAAGGAGTCTTGGCCTCAATACAATTCAATATGTTCGCATAAATGACCGTGTGAGAAACAAATGAAAACTTTAAATGCCGATAATACTTTTGGCCGATAGGTTTTTTGGGAGGCAAGATTACTTTGATTGTGTACAGACTTAACCTCAGTATTAACTATTTGACTTCATCATTCTGGAATAGGGGAAATCACAAGATTGAAAGTGACATATCTTGCAAAATAATCTGAAATATTAATGGAAATTTTGTTTGGCAGATAGCGATTAATAAGTCCATCTTCATACAACAGTTAACTTTGATTCTAGTTTTTTACCTGGCTAAACCAATAATCTATATAGAAATTTACCTGTTAAATAAAGACCAGGTATGTCTGTTTTAGGACGAAATTCAAGCGCCATCTCAGGTAGAAATCTTGTCTGGTTGTGATTTAAACCGTACATCTCACCTTTTGTTGTACCAAGATAATAATTATTAGTTACTGGTGTTCCAACTTTAATCAATGATACCTGAAATTAAACCAATTTCATTACTCTCAGTCAACCAATCAGAATAATATTACCTTATTCCAAAGCTTGTTTCAAAGCACTGACAAATCAAATTGCTTATTTATGCCTAGCATAAGTGGTAAATGCTGATCACTGAACTCGATCAAGATCTTCACCAAGTATGAACAATCTAACTCGATTAATAACAAGAGTTGTTGTGTTCTGAAGTCTTGGCCAATCAAACTGCTTACATCTGCTTAGCCTAACAAATTGCTTACATCTGCTTAGCCTAAGCAGAAAATGGTTATCAACGAGTGGTTGTGTTCTAAAAAGTGTGACGGACGAACAACCCCAGTTCAATAGGTCACTGCTTTCTCCAAACAAAAGGTTTACAGTTAGGACTTTGTGTGTTGTCTGTGTTTTGCTGTGCAGTTTTCCTGTGATGTCTACTAGATTTCATGAACTAATTTGGATATTGATCTTTTATGTACCTTATTTTCTATTTTAGGATAAAGACCAATACACTGTTGTATAATACGCTGTCCTATTCTGTCTTTAATAGCATTATAATCATCACCACGATGTTTGATTCTTTCATCTTTCCATTGTTCAAACCATTCAAATTTAGCTAATGTTATAACTAATAATACACTTTTACCTGTAAAGTATAACATCTAATTATTGTATATCCTGCTCTCTGGTACGATTTTATCCTGGTCAGACTTTAGTAGGCATAATCATGAAAAAGAAATTCTTCTCAGGCAAGTAAAATTTTGTAAGTTTCTTTGGGGAAAGTGCAAATTTATTTTTTATTTTAACAGTAATACATTATAGACTCAATGTGTCATTTGCATTTTTTTCTCAAATATCTGAGTTCTCAATTACCAATAAAAGATGGGGGTGTCTTATTACACTCAAGCAGCATAGATCGATCAATTTTCAATTTATCATAACTGAATTGACTCAATACTAAACAGAATTGAACCAGTTTTGTACTGACATTCATATTAGAGATTAAACTTTCACAATATCGTAGTGTGCAAGAGATTCATCAAGCCTTTAAATGTAAAGCTTTACAGGTAGTATTCCATTGATTAGTATATTTACCTGGGAATCTATGTTGGAATGATGGATCTTTAGCTGATGGTGATGATATATATAAAAGTGGTATATCTTCTACACCAACATCATCTACATCTAAATTATAAAACTTAGACATAGCCCCATCTATATCAGAACTACAAATAAATATAAATAATATAATACTTTATCATAGCAAATACAAATAATATTATACCATCTCTAACACTGATACAAATAAATACAAATAATCTCTATCACAGCTACAAAGAAATACAAATAATATTCTACCATCTCTATCATAGCAACAAATACTGGTAGTTTTATACCATCATTATCACAGCTACAAATACAAATAATTCAATACCATCTCTATCACAGCTACAAATAAATACAAATAATATCCTCTATCTACAAATAAATACCATCTCTATCACAGCTAAATTAAATACAAATAATATTATACTATCTCTATAACATCCGCAAATCACTACTTCGATCCTTGAAAGTGTCTTATATGATGTTACCAAAAACTATGACTAGCATTAAACGATGACGTTAACATGTTTCATCTGGTTCTGGAAATATTTATAAAAATATCCAAGAAATCTACTTACTCACGATAATACCATATATTGCCTGATGTCAGTCCCATTTCTTCATCTGTTCCGTCTAAACCTAGAAACACTGTCATAAACGAGGCACTTGGTCCGATTTTATCAATCAATGGATATAAACCTGTAATAAACAAATAATAAATAACTGTTGACCTTTTACTCAGGGGAGCTGCAGTGGCTATCGCAACCAGTGTTCGAAACAAACATTTTCAAAGCACAGGCCCGCAGGACTTGTGTGTCACATGATCATGTGGGTCCTTCAGGTGACACGCAGGCCCAACCAATAATAATAATATTTATAGTTTCCAAGCTTCGAAGCGCAGAACATAGTGGCCGGTTCATTGTTTTACAAAGCCGACAAAAAAAACTCAGTTACAAATCAAAGGCTGGTTACGCAAGTCAATGTTTGGAAAAACAGCAGCTTCCGTCATGTCGATGACAAGTAAACAATAACCGTCAACTATCGGAGACTCAGGGGTTGCGTTTCTATGACACTTCTACCATTTCCAGAATAGTCGTATGTGGACACTAACTATGCGAGATAAGAAGGCGAAGGCCCGGCGGACCCGAGTGAAATAGGCAAGCAGGAGTCATCCGATAAATCAGTCGGCCTCGGGCCTACGGACCGACGTTTGTGTCGAACACTGATCGCAACAGATATCCTTTCTTCTGTCAGTTACAAATACAGGTGGCTATATTTCAGTGCTCATTTTCAGGCCGCTAATGAAAGAAATTGGGCTGTATATATATCTCAGTGGAGACATTAATCGAAGCGTCCATCACTGATTGAGATGAGAACTGGTTATACTTACTTGATTTAGTAGCTACTTGTGGCGGTAGAAGATATTTAAAGGTATTATTAGCACCTGCATTAGATATGATATATTTAGCTTTGATATCAACATCACCAGTTGTACGTTTCACTGTCACTCCGACAGCTCGGCCTTTTTCATTGGTTAATATCTTAGAGACAGGTGCCTGTACTAGGAGACGCCCACCTGATCTTTCAATGACTGGAACAATGTGGAAAGCTATTTCACTAGGTCCACCACGGGGATAATATGCTCCCTGTAGATAATGATTTACAAGACCAGCATGGAATGAAAAACCGGCTTCCTTAGGAATTACGCCTGAAATAAAAAAACATATTGAAGTTGTATTACAGAATTTTGTATTTATTTTTGAATTTTTACGATTGATAATTGATCACATTCCATTTTCCCCATATACCCCATTCAATCTTTTCTATATCTGCCATTTTATTTTATGATCAGTAGTGGAATACCGCGTTTTATCAGTGAAATAAAAGTGTTATTCCACTGGCTAGCAGTAGTCCATGTTGTTTTTACCTAAAATGATTGTAAAATCATAAAATAAATAGAACATTTGTCGTTTACGCATTCGTGAAAATATAAGTTTTCTTGCTTCTCGATGAAATAAAATATGTTATTCACTCTAAAACGACAAATATCCTCTATATATCTACCGCATTTTTCCATAATATCATTTATTTACAATCTATTGTCATGCTAATTTTCCAGATTTTTATTTTGATGACATTCTGTCTTTCACATTTCAAACTGACGTTCTGCAATTTTACATTGAAAACTAAATAAATGACTTTTAAACACTGAATCTATCAGTGAACCTAAAATCAGTACTTTTATTTTTTTCTTCTTACCCAAATTCCTGTTAAATCTTTTATTATTTTCTTTCTAATCTCTATATGGCCAAATAAAAAACATATTCTGGTTCTCAGATACTCCTGTGTCACTTGAAAAGAGCCACATTACTTGTTTTTATTTCAAAAAATATTTACTCCCGGGTTACAGGAAGTAATTCTATAAAAAGAATTTGAAATAATCTGAAAATGTGTTGTAAGCTGAATTACCTAATACATGTATGCAAACCACATAAATTTTTGTTGACATTCATAAATGATAAATACTGGATAATCATACATTTAACATCACATGATGAGATACATGTAGTGCCTTAAAATGTGATGTTGATATATGATGAGAAGTCATGTAGCCCATGCCCAGTAGTGATCCTTTAACAAAATAAAAAAAAAACCAAAAAAACCTTTCTTCCACATCAGATTTTAAGGAAAGGTTGTCTGAGAACCATAATATTTCTTTTTGTATGGCCTAATTACTAGTTTCAACTTACCATAATCTCCCCAAATATAAGATAAAGTAGCTTTTAATTCTTGATTATCGGTCAGCTCATTCAACACTTCTGTTACTGTTTTTCTACTGTATTTAAAATAGTTGGTTAATAAATCCACGATTCCTGTAGCTGCAAGAATCTTACTCAACCATTTAGGTAAAATTTTCATCATCATCATTCCTCTAAGTCCCGTCCTTGCAACCTAAAAAGATAATACAATCATGGGCAAATATCGACAGGAACTGAGATCATTGGGAGATAAACCTGTATTTCAAATTTGGTCAAAATCGGATTAAAATTGTGACCTGTAAAGTGTCCAGAAACAAATACGGACAGGGGCACCAACGAAAATAATATATCTCTCATGGATGTTTCTTATTCTTCAAACTGTCTCCTCCAAATAGCTATAAAAAAAACTTTAAACATAAAAAAGATTTACAATGCTACTGCATAATTATATTTCTTACAAGAGTTTTTAGATTTTACAAAACATTTAGCAATAAAATATTAGTTGGTTTACTTACATGAATTAAGTTCATATATTTATCAATGGCCTCATGATCTTTAGGAAAGTTTTTCTTTAATTCTCGGATATATTCTTCCCTACCTCTCACCATTCTATACCTTCTGGCTTTACTAGCCTCTCCTAGAGCAACCTGTAATAAACAAATATATATTCTAATGTATTTATGAATCAATAATGACTAATACAAGCTTACCCAAAATTCAGATGTTTTTCTCAGACATTGGAGCTCTAATTCCAAATAAGGAGAAAACTTTGTTTTAAGGTACATAACATAATAAATTAAAAAAAATAGGACATAATTTATATCGAAAACAATCTGTGATTGTTTTACGGTAATTGAGCTCAATTGATTAATACATAACAATTTGTTATATACACTAAGCTCCACCTACAGACATGGCCATGGCACAGCACATTATTCTTTAGGTTTCTAAGATTCAAGTAAAACCTGACTACAGTACATGTACTTCTCTTTTAGTAACACACTTTAATGTGTATTAAAATTGTTTACATAACTTAAGTCTTTCAATTGTATACACATTATGCACAGTAACACGCTTTAATGTGTATTAAAATTGTTTACATAACTTAAGTCTTTCAATTGTATACACATTATGCACAGTAACACGCTTTAATGTGTATAATTAACACTTTTTACATAACTTAAGTCTTTCAATTGTATACACATTATAATTTTTAGAAAGTTAGCACGCAAGATTCTAAAATCCTTCTTTGCATCAACAGATCTGAATTTCAATGCTTTTCAAATGAGCCATATAAAGTCTATTCTTTTATAGAAATCATCAAAATTATACAAACCGTATCATAAGCTTCATCCATAGCTATCCATTCAACTTGTCCATCGGTTAGTTGATTACATAAAAACCTAGATACATCTCTTTCTCCCATATCACCAACATAGTGTATTCCTTATGAGAATAGAATTAAGAATTTAATATTAGTGCATTAGGCCACCCTAATAGTAATATAAGATTTTAAAAATTAGACCATTCTAATAATAATATAAGATTTTAAAAAATTAGGCCATCCCAATTGTAATAAAAGAAATTTAAAAACATATCCACCATTTTTGCAATTGAAGTAAACTAATTCAATATGTAAAGACACCCTTTCACTCAACTCCTCCCTTGGTGGAAGCCAACATTTATCTTTAATTCATGGAAGTAGTAGGATACTGACAGCTATAAGGGGAAAAATCACCCTGTCACTGAGCAAATTATAACTAAATAAATCCCAATTTTTAAGAAGATTACATGATAAATCTAGCCTCAGCTCAAGAGTGTTCACAAGGAATTATGGTTGACATACCTGTATCAAATTCAAATCCTTTTTTACTATAGTAAGTATGACAGCATCCACCAGCTTGATCATGTTGTTCTAGAACCAGTACCTTCTTACCAGCTTGTGACAGTAGAGCTGCAGCGGTCATACCCCCCATACCACTACCAATAACTATAGCATCTAGATTATCTGGTACCTTCGCTGGTGTAAACCCTGTCAGAATATTTCACACAAACATTAGGCCACATTAATTTGACTTTCTGTTCTACTGTTAAAATTTTGCTTCTGATATCTTTGGGAAAAAGACTTGTTTAAAGATAGAATACCAGGTAACAAAACATATGCCCCAGAAGCTATGTCTTCTGTGCATTCCAAAAGGGTTGTCGCATATCATTTATTTTTGTTGGTAATGAAAGCATTTACAAGACACTAAAATTTGATTAAGGGTAACAATTCAGTAAGTAAATGACTCTAATAAAAATATGACGTCACTTTAACACAGTTTTATATTGATTTTAAACTGGAATAACTGGACATTTTTATCATCTAAATGCCCAGATAACGAACAGGACATAACAAAAATTCAACCGTTAACCAGTGGGTCAGTGTCTTATACTAATGCATTTTAGTCTAGATACATTTTCCTTGTTAGACATTATCCTTTTTTATTAGCAAAATAAACAGACAGGACATAACAAACAAAAATTCAACCTTTAACAGGGGGGGGGGGGGGCAGCGTCTTTTACGAGTACATTTGTACCTTGGTTTTATTCTATGTACTTGCCTTGCCAAACATTCTTAACAATAGAGTATGACTAGTCTTAAATACTGTGTACCTAGAAGGTTCTTTTCAGCAGACACCAAGATACAATCCTATGTAGAACTTCTTACATGTATATAAAAGGTAATTCAGGTCATTTGTAGGACTTGTTCGTTTAATGCATACACATCTATTTTTTTATTTATTTTTAAATAAAACACTTAATACTAAAAATTGTGTACATATCACATTTTGTCCTGTCTTATTGTGTTAGCATGCTGTTTTATGCAAATAAAATTCTCAACAAAAAAAATAAATTGAAAAACATTTATATGTGTACATTAATTTAAAGTCCTGATGCATCATTTAGCACTTAAATCTCTCTTAGTTTAGGAATAACAGTCCAAAAATGGTTTAATTCCTTTCGGTATTTACAAAGATATGTGGAATTGAAATTATATTTATGTATGCTGCTTGTTATGCAATAAGCCTGCTGCCATTTTGTTTTATTGATAGACAGAGATAATTTATTGATAGACATTTTTTAAAATCTGATTGAATACAAGCCGGTGTGACAGTTTGTATTGACTCCCGGTGTGTCCGAAACTATAGTTTATTATAACAACAGAACTATACCTACTTCCGCCGGTGTGAGATGGCCCCTGCATGATCAGTCCAGGGAAAAGATCCGTATTTGGTTGGAGTTTTGTCATTATTAAACAATGTTATCATGATTAACTGTTGTCTTTAGAGATCAGCAGTTACAGAAACAACGGATATACTTTGGAGTTTTGTCATTATTAAACAATGTTATCATGATTAACTGTTGTCTTTAGAGATCAGCAGTTACAGAAACAACGGATATACTTTGATTGGCTTGAAATTGATATGCTATTTCTAATTCTATCGGTAGTAAGTGATTGTGGAAACCATACAAATTCATGATTGAATTGAAATTGTCAATTAATTCACCTCCACGGGCAGTTATTATTCTCGTGGCTTAATTTATCACACATATAAAAGAATGGAATTTCTTACTACCCCCCCCCCCCCCCAATGCCTTCATATATAAATAACTTAATTAAATCAACCTCTCCTTATTATTACTTTCAATGGACGTTAAACAACAACATCCCCCCGCCACCATTAGTTTGATCACACATACCAAAATGGCAGATATTGTATCTAAGTTAGTGACAGTGAGATTGGAGTTTTGTGAAAATGTGGGTGGGAATACTGAGCAGCTGACCTCTAATATTGGGCCAAATAATTGTTGATGGTAATAATAATAGGGCCTAAAGATCATCTATTTGTATTTTATATAGAATATTTGAAAAAAAACCCAACTTTTTATTGAAAGATACCGGACACCTAGAAACCGATTTTACTGGTACCGTAAGAACACCGGATCTATAATGGTGTGAGATTACTCCGACAACTGTGCATGCAGCAGACGGTAATCACACACCAGGGACCATCCCACACTGTTAGATCTTTGGGAAAACCCTAGTCCAGTAGAGGAACAAAGGTGTGTGTGTGTGAGAGAGAGAGAGAGAGAGAGAGAGAGAGAGAGAGAGAACCACTTAACACAAACTAGGTCATTTCGGGACTAACATGGTTCAATTTTATTTCAATAATTTGCTTGCACGTAGGGGTCTTTGGCATTAGGAGGAACCCGGAGAACCCAGATAAATTCCACAGGGTTGGACAGGCGGCCCGCACGCGCAAACCATTCGGCCAACACCCCTAACCTAGTTGAGACAGATTAGACCCTATGTACTAAAATGGTTTACCTCTAAAACATTAATATAATTAATATACTTACTCTGCTTAATAACAGCATCTCGCGCTCGGATATCTGTCACCAATTTCTCAATTGGTTTTTCATGATTTCTCCAAAAAGGATTTCTGCCAGGCTTTTTCCTGTTTATTAGCAAGGACAAGCCAAAAATAAACACGTACAACAGAAACCCTATTAACAGTATAGAAGGATGTCTGGCTATGTAGTCATACAACCCTTCTAAAATCATTCTGCTTTAATTTGTCACACCCTATGGTATTTCTCAACAACTGCCGTGTGTCGTTGAAATACTACGGTATGTTATAATATGTAGGCCTACATACAACTATGGAGAAATGAACCAGTGACCTGTCCTACACATTGACAAAAACTAAATGACATTGCACATGCGACATTTAGGTGAGTTACGGATTAGCAGTGTAATTTTCTTTCATAACGCCGTGCTAAAGTCCAAAGTTTATAATACCGCAATATTAAAAAAAAAGAGTTGTCATCTACAAAAGGGAGATAACCCTACATTGGGCTCTTCTCTTTCAAAGTTCCGAATAGCCCTCTTTCTTCAATTTAGAGGTTAGAAGGGCCCATGTTGTAAATAAACTTGACGTTTATGTTGCTCAATTGTTTTGTTTTTTTGGGGGTGGTTTTTTTTACGTTTACCAACGTATATTTTTCGGTCAAATCTAAATGGAGGACAGAAATGACTTAGAACATTTCAGAAGAACTTGGACCAAAGAGCTAAACCAAAGAAAAAGTCTGCAATGTCAACAAAAAAGAGAAAACCAGGAACTTGCTTCCACGGAATCGGCCGAAAACGAATTGTCTGTCACAAACACAGCGTCCAGTTCCTCAAATGGCTCGATGCCTAACCACTGTGAAATAATTGGTAACAGAGACTCTAGCACATGTGTAGTCAGTAATGCTTCTGTAAAATCACATAATCTGCATAGAGATAAATCTGGCACACTGCAATCAAACAACAAGAATATGCTTGAACAAATTCAAAGAGGAAGAGGTGAAAACTTCTTGGCAGAAAATAATATTGTTAATAATGACACTGAAACAGAAGGATATTATCCATTCATATTATTGGGTAAAATGCTGAAAAATAGCACAGAAGATTTATCGCCAAAGAAAAAGACCAAAAACCTTTTATCTCCAAATACAAAAAGGAAATATTTTGATAGTGACGAGGAGGAGATGACAGTTCTGATTGAGTCTTCATCCCAGCATCGGAAGAAAAAAGAACCAAAATCAATTATAACAAAAGAAATAAAGTCTAAATGTAGTAACCCTTTGAAGAAAGAGCGATTTCTTGACCTTTTTGTTGCCGATTTGGTAAGAAATTAAAAGTGGAATCCTGGTACTGATACTCACAAAAACTAACATTAGTATACACAATATTCTGAGTATTGTAATTTAGTTATTAGTCTTGTACAATTTAATTTGTACTAAAAAAATTATTATACGTTGTCACATGAAGCCGATTTTTCAAATCATGAATGAACACAAAAGGGGCTCAAAAGTCAAATATCCTTCATCCCTCCCCTGTTGCTTTTTATACGTCCGTCCGTCCGTGGACGCTCTAGAGGCTAAAGTTAATATCCGATTGACTTTAAATTTATACACAGTGTTTAAGGTCATGAGACGAAGAAGCCTATTGATTTTCAGCGATTTCCGATAATTACTGTCAGAGTTATGGCCCTTGATCACTTCAAAAAATCTTGTGGACGCTCTAAAGGCCAAAGTTAATATCCGATTGACTTTAAATTTATACACAGTGTTTAAGGTCATGAGACGAAGAATTCTATTGATTTTCAGCGATTTCCGATAATTATTGCCAGAGTTATGGCCCTTGATCACTTCAAAAAATCTTGTGGATGCTCTACAGGCCAAAGTTAATATCTGATTGACTTGAAATTTATACACAGTGTTTAAGGTCATGAGACAAAGAAGCGTATTGATTTTCAGCGATTTCCGATAATTACTGCCAGAGTTATGGCCCTTGATCACTTTAAAAAATCTTGTGGACGCTCTACAGGTCAAAGTTAATATCCAATTGACTTTAAATTTATACACAGTGTTTAAGGTCATGAGACGATGAAGTCTGTTGATTTTCAGCGATTTCCGATAATTACTGCCAGAGTTGACTTCAGATTGATACACAGAGTTTAAGAGCTTGAGACGAACAAGAATATTGATTTTCAATGAATTTTTATGACTTGAACAGCTAAATCCAAGATATTAAAAGTTTTGTATACTAGCATGGGGCAGAACTTTATAAAAACCAAACAAATTCTAATGGTTTTCTGATAATTACTTCATGAGTTGTTACTCTTAATCAGATTTTAGTGTATTATAAATGTTTCATTACCGAAAGAAGTAAAAATATGCGACAACACTTGTTGACTGCCCGGACGATTTAGCTGCTGTGGGCGTATGTTTCGTTGCCTGGCAACCTATCTTTATTTTTTTTTAAGGACTAAAATGTATAAGCCTGTGCATGTGTGTAAAATTCTTTTTCCATTTCAGGATGAAATCAATGAAATCCCTTTCTTTGACACAAATTTACCTAGAGAAGTTGCTATTAAAATATTCAACCATTTAAGTGTAGTTGACCTGTGCAGATGTTCCCAGGTAAGTATCATACAGCAGACACATAACAATAATTGTGAGATTTTTCAGTGAATTATATGTACCATAGTAGTGCATTCATGCCCAGTTTAAATTTCTGAGGATATCAATTTCAAGCCAATCAAGGTATATCCGTTGACTCTGTAACTGCTGATCACTAAGACTAAGACAACAGTTAATCACAATAACATTGTCTATATGGCTGTACTGTACTGTCTTTACACTATTACAGTGTATAATACTGTATACAAATGATACAATAAATTGAAATATTCCCTTTCAAACATTTTGCTCTACAGCCACAATATTTGCATTTGGCCTATGAAAATAATTGGTATTCCTTATTTATTAAATTTATAGGGATATGTTTTTATGTAAAATAGTTTTTTTTATCAGTAAACTTGTTAATTTTTCAAATATCCTACATTTGTAACACTGTCTTATATGTGGTGACTGATATATATTATGTATTTTGATTTAGGTTAGTAAAAGTTGGAGAAGTTTAGCAGATGACGAGTTGCTATGGTGTCAAATTTGTCATAAATTGGGGTATGAAGGGGAGATAACCACTAAAGAAAAGATGGGATGGAAGAATTCAGTACGACAGTATGCACAGAGAAAGAAAACACTTATTACTAATTGGAAGGTATATTTGAACTATTATGTTTTTAATAGATTTCGTCTTTTGTTTCAAATCCACATCTACAATACAGAAAAAAAATGTGGTTGAGATGTTTGATTTTGGATATGTTCACATGTAAAAGATGCCTTGATTCAAAGTTCTTTCTGTGTATAATGATACATTCTAGTTTTTTCATAGTCATCTTAAACGATTGTTGTCAATCTAGGGGTCCTTAAAACAACAGGTGATTAGTTCTGATTGCTCTATTTAGGGAAGAACTGGTAAATTTCATCAGTTACAACATGTACAAGGTGGTATTCTATGTTCAGTTGATTCATACCAAGATCTTATAGTAGCTGGGTAAGCATAAATTTTCGATAACATTTGACACCCAATACAGCGACGACATAACAGTGTCTGTATTCTGTTCATTATTTTGCTAAAGACTATAGTAATAATAACTTCAGTCAGTAACTCGATATTAAAAGGTATTTACCCTTTGTAAGTTTTTTTTCTTACAATCATCTTAAAAACATAATAAAGAGGATAAAGACATAATTATAATTAACATTTTTTTTTTTGACTAGATATACAAATTGTGATGTAAAGTTATGGAATATGGCCGAGGATGACAGTGTAACATTTCAGTCAAGTAATACATCTTTAATTATTGACGAAACATCTGACATCGGCACAGTCAGTAATCAAGTACAGCAAGTCGTTACATCTAAAAAGTATACAGCTGCTAGTTATTCACACGGTAAATTGAATTTGTTTCGTTAAGATGACCATATAGGTTTACAACAGATAATTAGGTGTATAACAATTGCAAACAGCACAATATAAAACAAAACAAGCCAACAGTGAGGCTGATATCCCTCCCTGTCCCCACCTCAAAATAGATGCCATTTATTGAGCAATTAAATAGTATCAATCTGAACAACCTTAGCAGAAAATGTTCGTTATCAAACTTAATCAATGTATATAATGTAATGAAACTAATAGGCAGGTGACAACAAACAATACAGTATGCTCAAACAGTCATTACACCCAGAAATATATACTCATAGGTGGAAACAAATATAAATGCTGACTTTGAATGTAAACATCTGGGACCTGACATAGGTAGATACATACATGGCTCAAAGCATAAACAACATGTAGATATAGGTGTTTGGATGGAACAAAAAATGTTTACATTTACATAAAAGAACCCTTGAAAGTTGGAATTCAATCGCTGTCCGGGCTAAATTTCCCACAAAGCACACTCTATAGTCAGTGTATGTCAGTCTTCATTATCTAAGTTTGGTTAGAATAGAATATATAGAGCTTGAATATAAAACATTTTATGACCTGGTTTTTTTTTAAAATTATGCAATTATAATTAAAATGTATTAAATTTGTATCTTCAGGTTTTGTTGATATTTGGAGTAATGAAGATGGGACCGATCCAGTCTACACACTTCAATCTCAGCATAATTCTGTTGGTCAGATCTGTCTGTCTTATCATAAAACTATTTTAGGAATAGTTGATGATTCTATAGTTAATATTATCCAGCCTACTGTTGACAGCGAAATGATTGTTACAGATAAAGTGAATTTACAATCTCATGTAAGAATATTTCAGATTAGTTTAATTAGAAGTAGAATGTTTTATCATACTAGATTTAGCATATTTACAGCCAGTCATTATTACAAATGCCTTGTGATTGGCAACTGGCTTCATTTGTTTTAGACCCATCTTTCTTAGCCCAGTCGGCGCAGAAAAGTAGTACATTGAACCCCATTTCATTTCATTTTCAATAGGAAATGTCAAGATGTATGTACTGTCAAATACCGGTTACTGAAATATTAGTTATATGTACCCATATCAAATACAAGTTATTTTTTGTTTCAGGTGCAGAAATTACAGTGGTTAGAATCTGAAAATCTGTCTGTTAGTTGTGACCCAATGTTGATAATAGGTCAATATAATAAAGTTCACATTTATAATCCAATGAACTCTTACCTAACAGAACTACATAATATGATAGATTCTAATACCAAATGTTTTGACTGTCGATTTCAACCTGAAATTTTAGCTGTTGGTGTACATTTCTTATCTCCTGTAGCTGAACACAAGGTAAGCCATAACAATGAGCTTCTGGTTCATAGTGGAACTCGGGTTATTCTTGAATCCTGTAAGGGTGGAAAAGCATTGCTCTCTGTTATCGACTGTGAGAAACAAGTAAATTCAGAGAGCAGCATATGTTTGGGAATGTTAAAATCCTCATGCATCCATCGTAGTGATTGCCAAGGACTATCCAGACACAGAAATTCAACAGGCTGCACGTACATCCTGTACAGTCCGTTCTGGACTCAAGGGCTCTTTCAGTGAACTCATGGATCCATATCAAGTTTTATTCCCGAATTCAATGCTTTCTTTCCGTTTTCTCTTTGGACATTTTCAGCTTCCCTGGTGTACAGACTTGCAGTATTATGGAAGCCTGATAGGTAGTTTTTGATCATATCCGAATTCCTTCCGTAGCTCAACTGTACTTTACTTTTATTTCAGGTTAAATTATATGATCTGTCTACAAAACAGATTATATCTACACTCCATGGTCATACATGGATTATACAATGTTTACATTTACCAGAAGAACAAACACATACATTAGTTAGTGGTAGCTGTGATAGAAAGTAAGTACAAACACATAGATTAATTCAAGTTCAAGTTCTTTATTCCTTTAAGTCAACAATTCATGAGGTATAGCCATAGTTGTGATAGAAAGCAGAGGAAAACACATAGCTTAGTTAGTGGTAGTTGTGATAAAAAGCAAAGACAAACACATAGATAAGTGGTAGTTTTGATAATAGGTAATGATTAACATAGCAATAAGTTAGTTGTTGTGGTTAATATAAACTTAGTTTAGTCATTTGTTGGTATGGTTTAATGTCTACGTTCACCGAAGGTGACATCACAGACAATATTATTATTAATATTATTATTACTTGATGTCTCAAAATCCCATCATGTATTAAAAGTTGTTTAAGGAAATGTGGCTAGTACTGTTGTGGGAACTAGACCCAACAAATTTAATTTATGTTTGTTTAATTAATTAAAACTATTTTTTCAACAGGGTGAGGCTGTATGACTTACGACATGGGGGTCAACCATCAATAACATTAATTGGTCATGTTGGTGCCGTGAGTTCTGTTCAGGCTGATGATTGGAAGATTGTATCAAGTGACGTGGCTGGTTTTGTGTCTGTCTGGGATATTAGAACATCCAACAAATTATGGGAATTACATAACAGGTAAATTATTTACAAACTGATGTTCATTTTGATTATTTAATATTATTAATATTATTAAATGTGTTGGACATTGTAAATGGCACAAAGGCATCACTCTGGCTTGACAGTTTAAAATCAGTAAGTCTTCAATTACCGGTACTGTCGAAAGCTGCTCAGATATACTGTACATTTATTGTGTATATATGTATTTCAGACACCCTATGGAATACTGTTAGTTTTTATTATAGCAGAATATTGATATTTGTATTATATATCTCAAGTTAAATATTATTTACTTGTATATCTCAGATATCCAGTAGAATGTTGATATTTGTATTATATATCTCAGTTGAATATTATTTACTTTTATTGTATATTGTATTGAATAATGTTATTTTTATTGTATATTTCAGACATCCAGTAGAATATTGTCATTTTCATGATAAATATTTAATGGTAGGAAATATACCAGGAAATAAATGTCCTGTGTTAGACACAGAATATGAATCAGCTACCCACAGAAAGTAATATTCCATTTATAAGCTCAAATAAACTTTTTCTCTTGTTATTTCTTTTAATGATGAAATAATTTTAATTATTCGGGGTTTTTTTTGTATAATTTAAATCTAAACAGGATGTGGTATAAGCAGATCATTTGGACTATGTGGGCAGATCTTCTACTGACTATGTGGACAGCTCATCCACTAACTAGACAAGTAGGACAACTCAAATCATCCACTAACTAGACAATGTGGACAGCTCATCTACTAACTAGACAAGTAGGACAACTCAGATCACCCACTAACTAGACAATGTGGACAGCTCATCTACTAACTAGACAATCTATGTTTTTGTACTAACTAGACAAGTATAACAACTCAGATCATACACTAACTAGACAATGGGGACAGCTCATCTACTAAATAGACAAGTAGGACAACTCGGATCGTCCACTAACTAGACAATGTGGACAGCTCATCTACTAACTAGACAATCTATGTTTTTGTATGTACTTTCTATCACTCTGTTCGATGATGGTACCCTTGATCAGTGGTGTAGCATGGAGGGCCTGACAAGGGACAACGTATAGTCGAAATAAGAGTAGGCCATAGCACTGCTGTCCGGGCAAAATTTCTCTTATAGCAAACTCCATGTCGTATGTCCATCTTCATTAGAACAGTAGGATGTTAAACTCCATTTCTTTTCATTTTATCACAAGTTCGATGATGAACATTTTCTGCTTAGGATATTCAATCTGATTAGTCAAGACTTTGGAACACAATAACTCGCTTACTAATTGAGGTAGAATGAATGTTCAAACAAAAAACTTGGTGTATGTGTATGGCTTGATGAACAATTACCACTAAGATAAGCAATTTGATGGTTGAGACTTTGGAACAAGAAAACTTTGATTCTGCTGAGTAAGATGGATGAAACTCAGAGTATATTCTAGTCATGTTTATTTTCTTTCTTTTTGTTGTGAGCCTACTTTCTAAATTAAATTATAAGATTGAATTAGTTATTATGTTCGATTTAGTCATTGCCCTTGATTGAATCCATAGTGAACAAGGCAGCGTTTATCTATGTTTATGTATGTTTGTCCTAATGTGATCTTTCTTTCATTTTGTAATTGTATGCTCACTATGCTGCTCCCCGTATTTTTTTTTAGCCAATAAATTTACTTACTTACTTACATCGATACCTTGACTAAGTCGATGATGAGAATTTTTCTGCCTGGGCTAAAAAGCGATTTGAATGGTCAAGATTTTGGAATATAACAACTCTGCTTTTAATTGAGATAAAATGTTCAAACTTTAACATTTTCCTATAGTATAAGGAGGCTAAGCAATATCATTGGTTGATACATTGGACACAATAACTTTGAATCATATTGAGGGAGAGTGATCACTTAGGGTATAGTTTCACTACATCAAAATCTTCACTAAGTTCGATCACATCTATTTTCTGCTTGGACTGGGTATAGATCAGCAGTTGGATTGCTTGATGCTTTATAAAAAGACAAATGTTCAATTAATTAATAGTGTCATCTATTTATCTTGGGATTTCTATAGGGGGCACCAGCTCACTGTTGGGTTGTTTTAATATTCTTAACATAAACTTTTCTATTCTTTTTTCCAGATATCGAGGAACAGTGCAAGTTTATGATTTTCTATCAGACCAGACCCGTGACGACATACCTGATATCTGTTTATCCACATATGATCAACCAGATGCATATAACTTCAATATCAGACTAGCAATGCCATATGATAATTTATAATATTAAATAATATTTTGTTAATCTGTGTTTCTGTTATTTTCTGGACTATCTCAATGGTCATATAAATAATGTAGGTAATCAATCCTAAGGTTGAATCAAAGACAATCAATCCATAAATTGAAAGAAAAAAAGTAAATAATAAGTGGGCATAATGGGAAACTAATTCGTCCAAAAATGAAGAGAAAACTAGGAGTGTGGCAATGGTGCATCCCAAACTTAGGCTGCCGGTCTACAGTATGACGTACATGGATTGCTCGGTGCCGTATGGCAATGGTGGGGATTAACAGGATTGAGCCTGAGGGTAAGAAATATTGAAATAAAATTAAACCATATGTTAGTTCCGAAATTACCTAGTTTGTGTCGAGTGGACGTTAAATTTCTCTCTCTCTCTCTTTCGTTTCATATAACATTGAAAATTCATTACCTGTCTGTTTCTTTTCAAAATAAAAGAGAGTTACCTCCCATGTCCAACATTGTTAATTATTGACAAGTCTGTCTTGGGCATGATTAATTATTTTTCGATAATTATTTCTTGATTAACTTTTAAATAAAATAAATTGTTTGACCTTGGGTACATTTCACCAAATTTCTTTTAGAATCGTCAAATAACTGATTACTAGCGCTTCTGTGTTATCATTATTTAATAATACCAAAGCCTACAATCAATATATATATAACTTATAAGTGGCGACGCTAGCTAATATGGCGTTGGTGGCGTGTTGATGTAGCAACATATTTATGGGAGGAAGCCAGTCGTCTGCTGTTCTTGTACTTAACAGATGCTGAAAACGATAGGCCAAATTTAAGAAAGAGTGTCTGGCATGAGTATGGTCGAATGAGAAATTTTCGAAATATATTTTATACTTGGTTAATGTATATTATTAAGCCCCTGTTGTCCCCGATTAACCGTAAAGATATTGATCAGGGGCCTGTTTCACGAAATTTTAACTAAGATAAAATCCAAATTTTAGTAATTTGATTGGATAATATTAGACTGATTTTAGTGATTAGCCAATCAAAATTGAAGTATCTAGTAAAATTTGGATTTTATCTTTAGTTAAAATTTCGTGAAACAGGGCCCAGGTTCCTTTTAGATTAATGCGTTTTAATCAAATAGCCGAGTTCCTTCAAGGAGCCGAGGCCTGCTGGGGCATCCGAAGGAGGATAGGCAGAGAAAACTTAGGGCACCTTATTATTGGGGGGGGGGGGGGCTCTGACAAGCGCCGGGAAATTTTTGACCCTGTGGCACATGCTAGAATCGCTTTGACGTATATCTTACATTGACACTTGGTTGCGGGATTATGATTTGAACATGTGACTGGTATTCCTTACAAATGGTAACTGTCCAGTTTTATTCGATTCTGTTCTTAAGGGTTAAACACACACAACCCCAAGAACGAGAAAACGATCAAGATTTATGCAGAGGCCTTTCCAACGGTGTAAAAAGTTTACTTTAATCCTGGCCAAGGAAGTTACTGGTGACAGAATAAATGTCTGTAGGGTTCGTGGTAAAGGCTAGCTTGTATACCCATGAATTTAATCGTTCCCGTCGCCCGTATTGCAATTTCAGATTATTTTTTTTTTCTTTTTCCTAAATTCAGTGAGCGAAATAGATAAAACAAAGACACATTAATCGATTCTGAATGTTATGGAAATATTAATCCGGCTGTGAAATCTAAACTGGAAGCCGTCATTGGAGATCAGGGTCGGATTAAGCCTGCATAGGGCTCTTGGCTGAAAATGTCACCGGGTCCCTTGTATCAACAGTAAAAAAACCCAGACATATTCTGGTCATGGTCTCTTTAAAAAAAAAATCTCTCAAAATATTAGCCGCGTCGTTTTCTTCAGACATTTATGCCAGCCTCGATTATATAAGTATTTGAGATAACTCTTTCGATATTTGAGGGGATTTGTTTTCAGAAATGAGGGCACTTAACCAAACACACATCCCTGTACACAGGTAGGAAATCTCATCGGATTCGCGGGCTATCAAGCATCAACCATTTTTGTTGCTTTTTGTTTTTGCATTTATGATGGCACATGCCTACCCAGCCAGCACGTCCATGCCCAGGATAGAGCCACGTTGGCTCACTGAGTAAGCCGTTTGCTCGCTAACTTGGAAGTCCCGTGTTCAATCCCTGTGTTGACCAAGGAAGTTCATCGGGATTTTCCGGCGTGGTTCCCCCTTGCCAGTAGTGCAGGACGTAGGGTCTGGCAAGGGACAACATATAGTCTTTCTGATGGGACGTAAAAGAACCCTTGGCAGTTGGAATCCGATATAATTTCCGCCATAGTACACTGTGTGGCATATGCCCGCCTTCATTAGCTCAGTCGAGGCAGAACAGTAGGACATTAAAAGACCATTTCATTTCGTTCCAGGAAAAAAACTTGTTGCGCTGACTCGCTTACCTGGGGTTCCCGGGTTCGATCCAGGTGTTCCTCGGAATTTTCCGGCATTGTTTCCCGTTGTCAGTAGCACAGGACGGAGATCCTGGCAAGAAATGGCGTCTAGTCGTTCGGATGGTAGGAAAAAACGAGGTCCCATATACACCTTGGTATGAACGTAAAAGAACCCATGACAGTTGGATTGCTGTCCGGGCTAAATTTATCTCACTGCAGCACACTGCCTTGAGTATGCCCGTCTTCATTAACCCGGTTTGAGCAGAACAGTAGGACGTTATAATTATGCCATTTCATTCATTCATTAGCATTTAATTTCCTATAAGCTAACACGGAGACTAAAGTTCCACCCTAAGAGATAATAATGTTGACGAGGAATAGTGTGACTGGATTTATTGTAATTTACATGTGGTACGACACTTTGAAACAAATTTTAATATATTCAATAGTAAATATATGCATTGGTTTACATGTCGATGTATACGATATGTTTTAAATGTCCCCAATTTACTGACAAAGAGAACATATCCTATAGTCAATAATAATTGCTGACAAAAAAACAAACAAAAAAATATTATGAAACCGACTAAAAGTCATCTGTGGTGTAATTGTGTGATGGTAATACAGCATACTAGACACATTAAACTGGGGTAATAATCAGACTTGTGTATTAAAAAAAATAATAATGTTCCTTTATTGTGATTTATTGTTGTAGGCCTATCTTAGTAGGAGAATGTTGGTGTTCAAGGAGCCAATGTAGTAGTGGTCGTTGATGTTGACGTTGACGTTGACGTTGATAAGGTTGTATTTTTGGCTCGTATGTTCGCCATTATACTGTTGACCATTTGGGTTATATTAAAACCGCCAGGTATAAAACTTGAAAAGTTGATCGCTCCAATCCCTTTAACTAAAAACAAATAAATAAAGTATCAATACAAGAGTACTACACAAATTGTCAGTTATCTGAACATTCAGAATAAATGAGACATGGTATCAGTTGTTGAAGAACATCCTTGGAATCACATCTTATACTCGAAATGACTAAATAAATATACATCATGTACATCTATCAACGGATACTGTATGGAGTCTAGAAATATTCTTTTAAATACTAAGAAATAACTATAACTTACCTTGTGAATTTGCCATAGATATCAAAAGGACCAGACAGCAAAGAATAACTAAAGTCCTCATCCTGCAAAAGCATTTTTTTTTTTTAAATTATTTCCGGCAAACAGCAATTCGCATTGGCTAAATTAGAAGTAATAAACGTCTAAATTTTCAATTATAAACAGATTTCAATTTAAAATCAGAAATGAATAACTCTTTCAAAACTGTTTTTAGTTTAATTTTGCATTTTTATGCCAAGGACAAAAAGATGAGTTGCGCTTGTGGAACAAAATAAACAACAAACCCCGTAAAATCGTTGTATTAAGCAACGCAAGGTTCAGTGAGCAATACATAAAGGTTTCACATCGAAAACATCACTTTTAGATAAGAATTTTTCTCTTTTACTTTCGATACCTCTCTATAGTTCTACAATAGAGGCTTAAGATAAGTTTTATTACATTCATTACAATAAATGTATTGCAATAAGGAGTGTAACAAGAGAGGGTCCTCTATAGCAAATCAGAAATATTTGGATAAGATATATTTGACAGATAATTACACAATAGTTTGTCAGTTAGATTTAATGGTTGAAGGCGTCATAGTGGACATAATAAACTCCCCCACACTTAGACCATTCCATAGTTAAACTTCCTTAATTATTGCAACAACGTATTTAACCAATAACCAAGAGCCTATTAAGCATTCGAAACTAGAATTATTTGCATGCCTACTGGTCTTACCTGTATGTTGTCTCTGAAACTGTTTACTATACACTAGTGAGGATTTAGTTACAAATGAAAGATAAAATCTATTCCCAGTCTTTTTATATACATATTCAGAGTAACTTGGATATTTATCAAAGTCTGTCTTATCAAATCAGTATTTGTTTTATTGCAATATAGGAAATCGTGACATTTCTTCCATTTTTATTATTTTTTAATATAGTTTCTTGTCATGGATTGACTCTTTTATATATAATGTGAAGTAAATGTCATCTCTGTTACGTAACTGACTCGCACATGTCATAAATTATTCATATAGTAAATTATGCAACAAAATCAAGTTTTAATAAAAAAAAAAAATACACATAGTGATTTCTATGACATCATTTTATTCTAAATTATAAGACTATAATACATGTATATAGAAATAATGCGCAGGGTGTTTTCTTTGGCGAAATGAGCTAAATATTTCTCTTTTTTTATTTTTTTATATCCCCAATAATTCCGATCTGCCATTTTGCAAGCTGGCGTCTATTTTTCGGAAAGTTTGAACTTCACGATAGTATCCAAATATACACCGTGCAATTTGTATGGTTTTCGGGATCGACAAACACAAACATTAAGTGGGTAAGACGCTGGCTCGTTAGTCTGGAGGTCGGGTGTTCGATCCCTGCATTGGCCGATAAAGTTCATCCAGATTTTCCGGCGTGGTTCCCCCTTTTCAATGACGCAGAACGGAAGGTCTGACAAGGACCGAGATCCCGTGTAGGCCTACACATTGGCGTGTCGATATAAGAGTAGACCGTAGTGCTGCTGTCTGGGCAAAATTTACCTCATAGCACACTGTATGGTTTATGCCCGTCTTCATTAGCCGAATTCGGAGCAGAACAGTAGGACGTCAAACCCCGTTTCATTTCATTTCATATATAGATATAATTTCTGTCATGATCATGCATGTGCATGTCGTAATAAATCATCCCCGTCTTCATTAGCCTAGTCGGTGCAAGCGGCACGACCTTAAATACCATTTCATTTCATTTCATAAATAAATTATTCATCTAGTTAATTATGCAAAAAAATTAAATTTTATTGAAATAAAACATAGCCTAGAGAACTTCATCATGTACATGGCGATTTTTGTTGACCTTTCATAGACCACCAGTTTTTCTCTCTCTGTGTTTTGATTAAAGAAAGCATTATGTAAGATTTAGATAAAGAGCAAGGCCCGTTTCACGAAATTTTAAATAAGATAAAATCCAAATTTTAGTAATTTTAGATTGATTTTAGTGCTTAGCTAATCAAAATTGAAGTATCTACTAAAATTTGGATTTTATCTTTAGTTAGAGCAAACCGTTCTGAAATGTCCGTTTCTTTAAATTCATAATTCTTCTAAAAAGAAAAACAGATGCTTGTTTAAAGATACATTATGGGAGATTCGATAACGAGTTGGCAGTTCTCAGTATAATAAATAAAAACTAGATAATGTAAAGGCAATTTGCTAAAAATTTCATTCAAATTGATCCACTATGAACCGAGAACGAAACGTTTGAAATTTCCACCTAGCCTCTGTCATCATTACTAAAGTCAGTACGGTTAACAGCATAGTCTCGATTATCCATTTAATCGTTAAATCGTGAAGGAAAGTTATGCAGTAAATCGGCTCATAATCCACTTAAGATCGCAGACTAGCGATGCCATCGAGAGTTGATTATGGTCTGGATAGGTTAATTAATGTCTAATTAAAATTTAGATAACATTTCAAGCCTAAAGAACGACCCGCAATAGACAGATTTAGCTCTTGCATAATGGTTTAACTTATTTGTGATACCATTAGTCAACTTTAAGAGTCATTAATCTAGCGCTCCTGAAAACTATGTAGAAATATCTCGACATTGGGGAGATTCTTGTTAGGCCTTATTTCTTGTGTACAATGCATCCGGTCAATAGGTATGACAAATGGCTTACAATTATGAGAATTTAGAGATCGTTTGAAGCTTTGTTTCCGGGATATTACACTATGATTAAGAAATCTTTATTTCCCACAACTTTACTAACCGTGAGCCACACTCACTTACAAAACTTGTGTTTGTCTCGCAGCACAGCCGGAAACATAATAAACATATAGAAAAGGTTCTATACTTCCTGTTGTAGATATCTAGTAAATTCCGGAATTTCAGTCTTTAGAATTTTAGAATTCTATATTTCCCATAACCTTACCAACAGTGAGCCACGCCCACTACCAAAATTTTTCATTGTCTCGCAGTCCAGCCGGCAAAATACTATATCGACCCTACCGCCCCATACCGCGGAGTTTAGTATAACACCAGTTCAGATATCTTCTCTAGAAAAAGATTCGATACTTCCTGTTGTAGACATTAAGTAAATTCTACACAGGAACCCGTTACTGATGGGAGGGTGTCGTGGTTGCTTACTGAGATAGAAGCTATCTCTAACCAAGAGGTATCTGGTTCGCTGTCGTTGTTGGCCAGGAATTTCCTCTGGTATTCCCTTGTCAGTGATGCAGGGCGGCGAGGGGATGGGGGGGGGCTGACAAAGGCTACTGTGTAGTCGCTTGGATTGTGAAAAATACCGAGGTCCCGTGTACGCATTGGCATGACCGTAAAGAACCATTGTCAGAAGGTATTCGAAGTGAGGGTAAGCCGTAGCTTCGCTGTCCGGGCAAAATTTCCTCATCCTCCTAGCATACTGCATGGCGTATGTTGGTCGTCATTACCCCAGTCGGTGCAGAATAATAAGACGTTTACATTTCCTTTTAAGCGCACCGGTAATGTGACATTGAATATCTCTCAAACTAATAATTTTTTTGACTTCTAAGATCACTGCGTGCTTCACAAGTCAAAATAGATATGGGCAACTTAAATTCACAGTTTAATTTTATTTGTTTTTTAAGACAGTAATAGGCTTTTACAGGTTATTGCCGTGTTTTAATTATCTCTTGGCAAATGTTGCAGGCGGTATCGAAACCCTATACATTAATTTGACGATCATTTCCAAATGACTCAATATTTTAAGTCGAAACTTTCCGACAAGGTTAATGACATCTTCCTATTTTGACCTTGAGTTTACAAACTTAAACGAACTCTTTTCGTCAGTTTGGATTGACGGGTATTCAAACACGTAGATCACAAGGAAGTGACGTCGACTTTCTTTTTTATAAGTAATTTCACTTGAATATAAATCAATTTGAGTTTAATATTTTGAAGATTTGAAAAGATGGGCGTATGTCAGATGAATTTTCCAGTAAATAACCCGAATGATTGATATATGTCACAATTATTTACTTATGTTAGGTCTTATCCATCAACTATTAATATAAGTGCCAAAAAGGTTATAAAAATTAAAACCAAATAAAAGGGAGGCTAATGGTGTATAAGTAAAATAACTCATTCCCCAAAAGATCCTTAAAATATCGTCTGTTTGGGTGAAAGGAGGGATCCTACATTGATATGTACTCTTCAAAAAAGTAGGGGATATTGAAATGCAAAAATCCTATGCAGGTTGTGTTATGATAAATAGTCATGGACACTTAATTGCTTTGAAAGTATGTTCACAGATGAAGAACTTATCGCCCCAACAGAACCACTGAGCTGCATGTGCGACACGCAATAGCGCCAAACACGTGGGAGGGGTTCATTGTCAAATTTGACCCTTCAAGGAAGGGTTCATGGAAACTGCCACTTGCTGGTTTATCCTATCCATGTTTTCTTTCTTATCGGTTCTTGCATAAGAACGTCAACATCAACCGTCAACACTGCAAGAATTGGCCGTGGCACTGCAAGAGAAGTGGGTCAGATTGCCCCAAATCGTGATTGGACGGTTGATTAGGAGCATGCCACGGCGAATTGCTGAAGGTCTGAGGATTGGTGGAGCAATTACTTACTATTAAGACAAAAATCAAAAACGTCCATTTTCACTTTTGACAGTATATCCCTTTGCGAGTAAAATGGGGCCGTCAGATAAGCCGCCCATATCAGGGGCGGATTGGGGCCGGGAACCGGCCCGGGCTCCCGTGTCGGAGCGGCCCCTTTTACTGACTGCAGGGTTCCGAATTCCGGCCCACACCCAGTACACCCGGCCCAGAAAGTCTATTATACCAGCACATTCCAGACTCCAGGTTTTTTAGTTGAATTGGACAAAATTATTTTTTTCATTTTTTGTCCGACCGGCCCTTCGCTCAATCTGCCCCTGGCCCATATGAACTGTTTATGTTCATGTGTAGGCAACTGGCCTGTTATAAACATACACTGGTTACCTCCAGGGGCGGATTTTGAAAAATGAACCCCGAAGATGCGATTTGGTAGCATATCTGATTATAATCTCTATCAAATTTAGGCCAAAACCGACCTGGAAGTAATTTACAACCATCAAGCTGTGAAATTATCATATCGTCATATTATTAATGGGGGTGAATCCGATGACATTTTTGGATGAAATTCGGAATCCCCTTTGCAGGATTCCGAATTCCGGCCCACACCAAGCCCAGAAAGTCTATTATATCAGCCCATTCCAGACTCCAGTGATGGTGTGGCGGCACGTTAAAGCCACCGGTCAGATACAACATGATCATCATCGCTCCATGGCCGGTCATACCCCCCCCCCCCATATAATGTTCAGCCGAAAAAGGTTTTTTTTAGACGAATTGGACAAAAATTTTTTTTTCCTTTTTTTGTCCGACCGGCCCTTCGGGCGATCGCCCGATGGCCAAATCCGCCTCTGGTTACCTCTAATAAAAACAGCATTGCATTTCCGCAGTTTTGTATTGTTTCTGAATATCCCCTACTTTTTTTTTTGAAGAGTATATTTTAGTAACACAAGCTTCTCAATATTAACAGGGAGGCTCTTGCGAACATATAGCCTTGTGCAACTATATAAAGCTCATGGTCCCCATGGATACGGGTTGATTATTAGTCAACAGTCTAACTCAAGATAATCATGTCTATATACCGAGTTTTATTCGCCCACATTGAAATAAAGCCTATTAATTTTCAACTATTTCCGATAATTACTGCCAGAGTTATGGTCCTTCTTTATCACTTTGAAA